GAGCCAGAGCTGCTTTCAGATCTCCCACTCAGGTGCAGGGTCCCAAGGCTTTGGGCCATCCTCGACTGCTTTCCCAGGCCACAAGCAGGAAATTTTCCAGGGCTGCTGGAAATAGAACCGGTACTCATATGGAATCATAGCACATGTAAGATGAGAACTTTATCTGCTAGGCTACCAAGCTGGGCCCCAAGGATGCTGGTTCTAATCTCGGTGTCCATGCTTCGCATCCAGCTCCCTGCTCGTGGCCTGGGAAGGCATTTGAGAATGGTCCAAGGCCTTGGGACCCTGCACCCACGTGGGAGACCCAGAAGAGGCTCTAGACGCCTGGCTTTGGATTGGAACAGCTCTGGCCATTGCAGCCACTTGGGAGTGAATCAGTAGATGGGAGATCTTCCTCTGTATCTCTGACTTTCTAATTTAAAAAATTTAATTAAAAAAATTTTTTTTAATCTTCCATCTGATTTACTCCCCAAATTACCAAAACAGCTAGGTCTGGGCTGTGTTGAAGCCAGGAGCCAGTAGCTTCATTCTGATTTCCCACATGAGTGGAGGTGACTTGAACCATCCTGTATTCTCTTCCTGGGCACATGAGCAGGGAGCTGGAATGGAAGTAGAGTAGCTGGGACTGAAAACAGCACTCTGGTGTGGGGTGCTGGCATTGCAAGGGTGGCTTAGTCAGATGTTTCACAATGCTGATCTCAGACATTTTATCAGCTATAAAATGTCATGGAGGTACAAATTATTTTATAATTGCTTGTAAGTAAAAACACATGTATTCCATTTTGAGACTTTTGCTTTCAAAATCTGATAACCTACAAGTATTTTTGGAATACCAGACATTGCCTGGTTTTAGAGCTGCAAAGATTGAATCCCTGGGCTCATGGGGTTAAGCTGCCACTTGCAATACCTGCATCGTACCTCAGTGTGCCCGTTTGAGTCAGGTGTTTCCAGCTTTCTGCCGACACATCTGGGAAAGCAGCAGATGATGGTTGAAGTCCTTGGATTCCTGATCTCCACGGGGAGACCTGGAGAACAGGCCTTGGCGCTTAGAGGCATTTTGGAGCACGCACCAGTTGATAGATCTCTAGCTCCTTTGTCATTCTGCTTTTAAAGTAAAAATATCGATCCCTTTTTAAAAATTGAATCCAATTTAGTGTTGCCTCTAAGGAGGTCACTGTGGTACTAGGGATGACAAGTATAGAGTTAGAAAAATGGGTTGAGGGGAACATAGTATAGAACCTGTGATTTTTGTCAAACTTGATGTTAGAAACATTTCCCCCCAAAAAAGTCATACCCAGAACCTGAGTAAGTAAATAGATACAGATGGAATCCTGTTTTGGCTTCTCTATCCTCATGCCCACATTGGTGTGAGAAATCAAAACCAAAATCTGGGGGCCCAGTATGGTAGCCTAGTGGTAGCCTCGTCTTGCATGCTCTGGATCCCACATGGACACTGGTTCATATCCCAGCTGTTCCAGTTCCCTGTTTGTGGCCTGAGAAAGCAGTTGAGGACGGCCCAAAACCTTGGGACCCTGCATCTCGTGGGAGACCTGAAAGAAGATCCTGGCTCCTGGCTTCAGATTGGCGCAGTCCAGCCATTGCAGCCACTTGGGGGTGAACCGATGGATGGCAAATCTTTCTGCAAATCTGACTTTACAATAAAAACAAATTTTTTAAAAAAAATCTGGCTTGAATACTGCTCTTTCTGCTCTTTAGCTGTTTGACATGGGTCAGTGACCCAATCTCAGTAAACTTGTTTCCTCATCAGGTGTGTGTGTTTCTTGGTGGAGTACAGGAAAGCGACCTGGCATGGGATGGCATTGATTCAGTGGACAGTAGCTGTCGAGGTGAAAGGTGCATGACGCAAAATTCAAGAAGGGATGTCCTCTGTCAAGTGGACAGGCTGCTCTCAGGCCGAACCCTGAAGGTCAATGGATGGTTGTCAGACATTGGAGGGAGGTTAGGGACATGCACCTGTGCTTCCCTTGGCTTTGCTGGGGATATCCTAAGTGCAGTGACATCGCTGTGCTGAAAAGCAGAAAACTTTTTCTTCCTTTGCAGAATTAATCTTTTGTTTGAGATTCAAGTTAATGGGGTGCTATAGATATATTGTAGGTGGATACATTTACTATGAATTTTTTTATAAAGATTTTTTTTTTTTCGTATTGGAAAGTTGGATATACAGAGGAGGAGAGACAGAGAGGAAGATCTTCTCTCTGCTGATTGATTCTCCAAGTGGCCGCAACGGCCGGAGCTGCGCTGATCTGAAGCAAGGAGCCAGATTCTCTTTTGGGTCTTCCATGCGGGTGCAGGGTCCCAAGATGTTGGGCCATCTTTTTACTGCTTTCCCAGGCCACAAGCAGGGAGTTGAATGGGAAATGGGGCTGCTAGATTAGAACTGACACCCATATGGAATTCTGGCACATTCAGGGTGCTTTCTTTATCCGCAAGGCTACCATGCTGGGCACTACTGTGGGTTTTTGAGAAATAACTATAAAGTTAAGGTTTTAGGAAAAGCCAGTGAGTCATAACTGAATATCTTTCTACCTCAATGATAATCAGATTTAGACCATTTTCAGTTTTCTGTGGTAGCACAATGATCAGGGTGTGGAGGGTTGAGGCATGGGGGAAAGTTGATAAGACAGTTGCTCCAAATTTTCCTCTTCCTTTCAATTAAATAAACATTTTTTAAGATTTATTTTTATTGGACAAGCAATTTATGGAGAGTCAGTAATACCTTCCAACTGCTGGTTCACTCCCCAGGTGGTTCCTTTTGGTTCCTCAAAGGTGTTTTCCAGTTTAAAGAATTACTGCCAAGATTTTTACAGACATTAATATCAACATCAATTTGGTTAATTCACTCTATTAATAATTAATAAAACCCAAGCTAGCAGTTAGGGAGTAAGATAATTTAGCACAGTACTCTTTATTTATTAAAAAAAAAAGATTTATTTTTATTTGAGAAGCAGATTTATGGAGAGGAGGAGAGACAGGTAGAGATCTTCTGTCGGCTGTTCACTTCCCAAATGGCTGCAACAGCAGGAGCTGGGCTGGGCTGAAGCCAGGAGCCAGAAGCTTCTTCTGGGTCTGCCATGTGGGTGCAGGGGTCCAAGGACCTGCCACTTTCCCAAGCACATTATCAGGGACTCGAAGTTGAGTGCCCATAAGCACATCTGGGATGAAGACTGTTAAAATGTGTTTTTACAATGGTGAAGAAGGTGCATCCTAGTTCATACCCTTAGTTGAGCAGCCAAGACAGGATGAGGTGGGCTGAGAAAGAAACAAAAAAGAACAGAAGTAAGGAGATGGTGCGTATTAGTTGTAATAGCAGAAAATATCAAATAATTCTTAGCGGGGAAAGAGTTATAAACAACAGGATACGTTTCAGTTACCTATTTTGCACCTCAGTAACTGTTGAGAATTTTTGTTTGTTTATTGCAAAGTGGAAAGGAGTTTATGTTTGATAACCCTTGAGGGCGTTGATTTGGAAAATACTGAGAGTAGACTTCAAGCAGTTAAGAAGTGAAGAATTTTAATTCTGGTGATTGGTTACAAATGTATTAATAAAGGATTTTGTATTGTTATGCTGGAATAGTACTGGGGTATATTAATTCCGGTTCTCCGGAGAAGCAGAATCAGTAAAGGTGTATGTGTGATTTGAAGGAATTGGCTCACATTATTGTGAAGGTCGGCAAGTCCAAAACTGACAGGGTGGGCTGCGGTGCTGAAGACTGAGGAAGAGCTGAGGTTGCTCGGCTGTGAAGGCGGTCTGCTCCAGCAGGCGCTCTTCGGGAAGGTGGTGTTCCTACTACAAGGCCTTCACATGATTGGATAAAACTCATGCACACATTATAAAGGGTCATGCACCCTACTCACAGCCTGTTGATTCAGCTGCTATTTTAAAAATACCATCATGGTAAAAATCTTTTTAATTTTTATTTATTTTTATTGAAAAGGCAGATTCACAGAGAAGGAGAGACACAGAGAGAGATTTTCCACCACTGGTTCACTTCCCAAATATCTGTTCTGGCTGTGCTGAGCTAATCTGAAACCAGGAAGCAAAAGCTCCCTTGAGGTCTCCCATTTGGGTGCAGGTTCCCACAGACTTAGGCCATCCTCTAGTGCTTTCCCAGGCCACAAACTGGGCTGGATGGAAAGTGGAGCAACCTGGACATGAACTGGCACCCATGTGGGATGGTGGCATTGCATTCGTGGGGCATTAGCCAGTTGAGCCATTGTGCTAGGTCCTCCATGGTAGCCTTTTAACAAATGTTTGTTCAGATATAATACCAACTATCTCAGGGGGTGTGATAGAGCCTGTCTCGTAATATTTTAATCCTCTAGTGAAAGGCAGAGCCAAATGTGATGCTCCTATAAGATAAAGAACATAAAGAAATGATTGAACATTGTGTTACTTAAATCTTCACCTGGTTGATTTCAAAGTCCAAAAACTGTTGCAACTTCGTTGTCAGTCTGAAGCTATGATCCAGCTATTGGTAGTACCTTCCTTCAGAAGTAAGACTTACTAAACTGAGACTGGTAGGAATGAGTGTTAGGAAAGAAATGGCTTCAGGATCTTGGTTCCAGAACTAATTAGAAAATAGATTTTTAATTAGAAAATAGATTTTTAATTTGGATGGTAGTTTTATATCATGTAAATGAGACTTGGTGCTTGGAAATATGGTAATGGAAAAGTGGAAAAATAGATTGGTGAATTTTACAGTTTTTATTAAAATTTGCATATTGGCAGTCATATAACACTCCTCAGTAGGTTATATAATTCTTCAGTCTATAAATAAGTGCCCAAAGTCCACTGGCTTTGGAGACTTTTATGACAAAGCATGTCCCAAGTTACTGCTAGTGTTCATTGTGCGATAGCTGGAACTTTGAAAAATATAATTAAAGTTCAGATTTGATGGCAATAGGGAGTGTGTTTGTGATTCAATATTACAAGAGTTTGTTTACATTTTTCTGCTTAATCCAGTTAATCCTGTGAGGAGAATTTTATGTATAAGCCCATTTTACAATTGAGGAAATTCAACTTTAATGAAGAAACTGATGTTTAGTGAGACTAGGCAAATTCTATACAATAGGACCCTACCGCATATTATTTCATAAATACTACTTGATAAATTCCACCTGGCTTTTAGTCTTAAAATGAATAATCTCCTGTCTTGATTATTCCTTGTTGCTTGTCAGTCTTAGGTGAGGTTCACCTTGCTTAATCGATTGTCTAGGTCGTGTTGTTTTTTGCTTTATGCTAACCATTTTTGGTACTACAACATTTACCTTGGAATGGAAATGTACCAATTATAAATACCTGATTTCTATCCCATTTTTTCTTTAGTGTTTTTGAGACTTTATTGTAATCTACATCTGTATCGGCAGTGTTTCAGTTTGATTCTGTAAAAAGGAGATTTTTAGAATGCTATGTAAAGTAAGTAATTACAGTTTATGAATTTTTTTTCAGTACTGATTATTGCTAGTATTTAGTTTTAAAATGTATTTTTATTTGAAAGGCAGATTTACTGAGAGGAAGGAAGGAGATCCTCCATCTCTTGTTTCACTCTCCAAATGGCCATTGTGGCCAGAGCTGAGCCAATCTGAAGCCAGGAGCCAGAAACTTCCTCTGGGTCACCCCATGTGTACAGGGCCCAAGGGCCTGAGCTTTCCTCCACTGTTCTCCCAGACAATAAGCAGGAAGTTAGAACAGAAGTGGAGCAGCCAGGACACAAACCAGCGCCCATAGGGGATGCCAGTGTCACAGGGGAGGATTGGCTTGCTGCACCACCGTACTGACCCCAGAGAGAGAGAGAGAGAGAGAGAGAGAGAGAGAGAGAGAGAGACCCTCCATCTGCTGTTTCACTCACCAAATAGAGAGAGAGAGAGAGAGAGAGAGAGAGAGAGAGAGAGAGAGACCCTCCATCTGCTGTTTCACTCACCAAATAATGACAGTAGCCAGAGCTGGGCTGGTATGAAGCCAGGAGCCAGGAACTTCTTCTGGGTCTCCCACTTCGGTGCAGCAACCAAAGAAGTTGGACTATCTTCCACTACTTTCCCAGTCAAGTCAGCAGGGAGGTTGATTAAAGTGCAACTGCTGGAGTTGGGCTGCTGGCACTGTAATTGGTAGCTTTACCTGTTGTGCCCTGATCTGATTTTTTGTAAAGCAGCACGTACAGCCACATAACTATAGTGGTTTTTACTGTCATGTGTAATGTGTGCTATTGAGGCATATGAAGAATCTGACCTTTGATTTTTTTTAAGGTTTATTTGAGAGACATAATTAGAGAGACATAGAGAGGATGGAATTATTAGTAATTGTTGAATGACATTTTAAATGTTCAGTGGCACTTAAGTCTTATTTCTATGCCTTGTTGTTAATTGAAAATTGGATTTTTGTCATTTCTATATAATTTTTGTATTTTTCCTCATGTATCTTTATTTTCTACATTTCTCCCTATTTTATAAACTCTTAGTTAGCAAGTCCCAGTGTATAAAATTAGATTATTTATGAAATGAAAATTCCGATAAATGAAACCTATTTTATATAACAAATGTAAATGCAAAATGGGAAAAATTTCAGTTGATAAATAATCATCTTTTAAATTTTTATTATTTTTTCTTGGAAAGTCAGATCGTGGGTTTTTTGTTTTGTTTTGTTTTTTAAAGATTTATTCATTTATTTGGAAGTCATAGCTATAGAGAGAGAGAGAGAGAGAGAGAAGAGAGAGCTAGACCACAATGTGTTCAAGACCCTCCTGGGCTTGATGGTGGCTTAATCCACTGCATAGGGCTAGCCCCAATCATTTTATTTTATAAAAATTTTCTAATAGTGGAAAAGCATAAAATTAGCTTGATTCTATGTAGATTATCCCGGTTTTATTGGCAATATCCAGAGTGTCATAGCCAGAAGCCAGTAGAACTATGCTGTCTATGCATTTTGCTAGATGAGGGCGTTGCCTTTGGCCACATAAATGTCAGAGTTTCTACAGGCCTGCTTGATTTGGTCCTTGTTGTCATTGACGACCACAATGAACATGAATGTGTTGTGCTATTTTGTCTTTGTTGCAGACCCATTGAGGAAGAGAAGCTTTATGGTGGCACAGAGATCCAGCTTGTTTCTTCTCGGGCTTTTCTGAGGATGTGTGGGCTGCATCCAGAGCTGCAGTGTCTTGGGCTGCTGGAACGCGGGTAACACATGCCATCGTGTGTGCGTGGCTCTGGACACAGCCCACACATCCTCAGAAAAGCCCAGAAACAAGCCTTACCTCTGTTCTGTCACAAAGCTTCTCTTCCCCGAGGGCCTGCGGAGTTTTGCTTTAACTCTGACTTTAGCAAGATAGGAGCTGCCTTCATGTTTGGTGCCACCTTGGTGAAAAGCTCAATTTTTCCTTTTTTTTGTTTGTTTGTTTTGTTTTTTTTTTTTTAAGATTTATTTTTATTATTTTCTTATTGGAAAGGCAGATATACAGAGAGGAGACAGAGAGGGAGATCTTCCGTCCGATGATTCACTCCCCAAGTGAGCGCAATGGCCGATGCTATGCCGGTCCAAAGCCAGGAGCCTCTTCTGGGTCTCCCACATGGGTGCAGGGTCCCAAAGCTTTGGGCCGTCCTCCTTCCCAGGCCACAGGCAGGGAGCTGGAAGGGAAGCGGGGCTGCCGGGATAGTACCGGCACCCATATGGGATCCTGGGCATGCAAGGCGAGGACTTTAACCACTTGCACCACCGCACCGGGCCCTGTTTGTTTGTTTGTTTTGAACCCTTCTGTGATGTTGCACTTAGCCAAACAATAAATACTTTATTATGTTGGGAATTGCACTGTTTGGCAGAGAAGTGGACTGATATGAGAGTAGAAAATACCCAAGAATTCTGCACTCCCAAAGCCTGCTGAAGCCTGCTTCTGGTGCTTGGACAGCACTGAATTGATCTCTAAGAATGTCTGGACATTGATGTTCACATGAATAAAGCACACTCCTCTGTAACATGTATATAACATATACACATGGCTTTAAAAAGTTATTGAAACCCCGCCAAAATACATTTCAAAAATGATAAGTCTTTTCATTGTTTGTGTTGGCTTTTAAGAGGTTTATGAACCTCCTTAAATGAATGGAGTATTTTTATTATCTTCATACATATATGATTCTTTGAGAGGCGAGATCTTAGCTTTCATCACACTCTCAAAGGAATCCAATGAAATTAAAAGAGGTTAGCAGGTATGTATGAAAATATTATCTAATTTATACTGTTATGTAGATTGCTCATTGTGAAATATTCTGATTATTTCTTGCACCGTTTTAGAACTTTTGTTTGTTTTCATGTGACATTTGCGGTTGTATATAAACCATTTCCATTTGGTACAGTTGTTAAACTGTGGCATGTGATGGCCGCTTCCTGCCTCATGGCCCTGCTCTGCCTGGTGGCTTCCTGCAGATACACACCCTGGGAGTCAACAGGTGCTGGCTCAGATCCTTGCCACTCCTATGGGAGATGCAGATCGCATTCCAGGTTGCTGACTTCAGCCTACCTGTCTCTCCATGCCCCTTGAAGTTCATTTAGGGAATGAATCAACAACTGGAAGGTTTTCTTCTTACTCTGCCTTTCAAATAAATAAATATTTTGAAAGAATATTACCTAAAAGCCAAAAAGATAAGTTGAAATGTTGTATATTTTCTTTATTTTAAATTTCTTATTTATTTGAAAGAAAGAAAAAGCACATGCACAAGAATGAACTCCCCACTGCTGGCTCCCCTCCCAGATGCCTGGAGAGGTTGGCGTTTCAGAGCTGGAGCTCAGGAACTCATTGCGGGTTTCCCACGTGAGTGGCAGGACCCCACTACTTCTACTGTCACTGCAACCTCTCTGTCGGGAACTTTAACTACTGAGTCAAGCCACCCTTATTATATTCTTAAAATAATGTTGGCTGATAGCAAAAAAAAAAAAAAAAAGTAGGGAAGTTTTAAAAAGTGAAATTGAAAAAAGGTGAACTACTCAGAGTGAAAAGGACCTTAGCCAATACTGGTGATTGAGAAGATAGGTGAACTATTCAGATTATCGAATTGATGGCATATAGGATCTTTCTCAGTTTGCATATTGCTCTTCTGTTCACTTTCACTTTATTTATTTTTATTGCATAGTCAGATATACAGAGAGGAGGAAGATCTCCTGTCCATTGATTCACTCTCCAAGTGACTGCAGTGGCTGGAGCTGAGCCTGTCCAAAGCCAGGAGCCAGGCTAGGAGCCACCTCCAGTCTCCCATGCAGGTGCAGGGTCCCAAGGCTTTGGGCTGTCCTTGACTGCTTTTCCAGGCCACAAGCGGGGAGCTGTGTGGGAAGTAGAGTCACCGGGATTAGAACCAGCACCCATATGGGATTCCGGCACATTCAAGAAGAGGACTTTAACCACTAAGCCACCACGCTGGGTCTGTCTTTGGAGCATTTTAAATAGAATCATTTCCACTCTGGCTTCAGCCTTTTGGTGGTTCTACCAGGATGTAGAGACCTCTACTGTCTTGATCTTTATGATCTCTGTTGCTTCTATTCTTTCTGCACAATACAGCTTAGACGCTTTGATCTGTTAATTCAGCTCTCCTCATCATGATTCATCACACCTACACTGTATGACTCCACCCAGCCCTGGGTGCCTTGTCTCTGTCTGCAGCCACACTGCCCATACTATTACAGAAATTCCATCTTCAGTCTGTCTTTTCTGTCCTTACTGTAGCTACTTCAGTCTTATTACTGCTTTTTTCCATGTCTCCTCCTTGATAAATCACTTCATATTTTTTGGAAATAAAAATTATATATATATTTTTCCGTTCTTGTATATATGACCCATATTTATGTGTAAGGTTGCTACATCTGGATCCTGTTCATTTCCCTCTTTCTCTTGACTACATCTCTTGAGTCCTTGTTTCCATTGAATCTTGATTTTAAAAAAAAAGAAACCTTTTGTTATGGAAAATGGCATACATGTAGATGAAATTAGAGAAAAATATAATGAACCTGTTGTTGTGACTGTTTCCTCCAGACTGAGCTTGTTGATATATCTGTCTCTCACCCACTTGCTCTCCCCCAACATTTTTTAAAGGAAATGACAGAAACTATGTCAGTTTTTGATGACTTTTTCATTATATATCTCAAAAGCCTTTTGAAAAATAAATGCCATAATGGCATAATTTCATGAAAATCAAGCTATTCTTTAGTATCATCAGGTACCCAAGTGATTGTTTATTGATTTGATTTAGTTTGTGTGGATCTAGATTAAAATAGTTTTAAAATTGCAATTGGTGGCCTTGTCGCTTGCCGCTTTTAATCTGTAGCTTTCCTTTTGTGTGTGCCTTTCTCTCCTGCGAATGTGTGATGCAACATTTTACAATAGCGACCTTATGACCCACGTCCCCATAGGTCTTTGTAACTTATTCTGCCCTTTATCCTTCTTGGAGTTGAACGTTGAAACTAGAGGATTGCTCAGATTTGGATTTGAGGTTTTTTTGTTTGCTCTGTAGAGTGTGGTGTTGTTCCATTACTACACTGGTATAAGTTGTTGTTGCTTAGATATGTAGCCATAGAAATCATATCTGATCTCTTGGTTAGTATCTTTTTTGTGGTTAGAAGGTGAAAATGATGATACTAAAATTACTTATCCCTGGGGCCAGTGTGGTGGCATGGTAGGTTTACCTCCATTTGTGACGCTGGCAGCCCACAGTGGAGCTGTGACCTAGGTTCGTTAGTGTACCTTTAAGGCAGCATAATATAACCAAAATATTTGAGCCCCTGTCCACCATGTAGGAAACCTGGTTGGAGTTCCAGGCTTCTGGCTTCAGCCTGGGCTAGCCCCAGCCATTGACTGTCAATTGGGTTGCAAATCAGCAAATGAAATACCCATCTTTCTTTATCTTTCCCATTCTTTCTGTTGTTCTGCCTTTCAGGTAAATAATAAGTAAATAAATAAATGGATAGATAGATAAGTAGATTGATAGTTCGGTAAATAAATTGATAGTTTTAGAGAATGGCAGGATGGGGTAGTTTTCTTACTTGTCTATTGTGTTGGGTTCTGATTCAACACTGATGTCAGTTATATTTTTTTTTGATTCAGGTAGAGTGGTAAAAATGGCTTGTGCCTATCATTTTAGTGAGTTAGGTTCCTTATCAAGAATCATACTCCAGCTTCTGTTACCAGAATTATGGAATTTAGTAGCACTGTAAATTTCCAAAAACTTTTTGAAGTCCTCTCATGTTTACTAGAATTGCTTGATAAAGAGCTGTGCTGAAACAAACAACTGCCACGGAGTGTCTGAGCTCTTTCTGATTTAGGATTCATGCAAGGAAACTTAAGAAAGTTTGTAGAGGGGTGGGCGGGCAGGCATTTGGCAGATTAAGGTGGTCTTGAGTCCAGTTCTTCTGCTTCCTATCCTGCTTCCTGCTAGTGGGTACTTTGGTCCCTTCTGCCCATACAAAAGGTCTGGATTGAGTTCCAGGCTCATGGCTTTGATCTGTCCTGCATGTTGCAGGAACCAGGATTTGGAATCTGGGATCAGCTACAGTGCTTGGACTTGAACCCAGGTCTGTGCTAGGGAATGTGGGGTTCCTTTGTGGCATCTTAACCACTGTGCCAAAAACACCTACTCCCTATTGTACTTATTATTTTGTAAATTTAGAAATCTTAATTTTTGCCTTTGGGGGAAATTGTGGTCTTTACAAGAATTTTTTAAAATTTAGAAACACAACAGCCTTTATTGCACATTCTATTCTGTAGGTGAATTATAGTCTAAAGAAATTATATGTTAATATTTCTGGCAGATAACAAAGCTTGAAGTAAATAAATATATGTTCAGTTTAAAATTGATGCTGTTTATGGAGCTGGTATTGTGCGTAATGGGTTAGCTGCCACTTGGACAGTGCCTATGCCAGATCAGGGTGCCTAAGGTTGAATCCCACCTGATATGCTTGGTAGGTGGCACCTCAATGTGCCCAGGCCCCTGTCACCCACTCTGAGCTCCACACTGACTTCCTGGCTCCTGGTTTCCTCCTGTCTAACAGCTATTGTGGACATTTGGGGAGTGAACCAGCAGATGGGAGACAGTATATTTTGTCTGTTGCTCTCCCTTTCAAATAAATAATAAATGAATAAATTAATATTTTTTTAAAGATAGTGCTGTTTGGGGGCCAGCACTGTGACATAGTGCAGTACCAGCATCTCATGTGAGCGCTAGTTTAATTCCTGGATGCTCACTTCCAGTCCAGCTTCCAGTTGATATGCCTGGAAAGGCAGGAGAGGGTGCCCCTGCACCATATGGGAGACCTGGAAGTTCCTGTCTCCTAGTTTCAGTCTGCCCCAGCCCTGGTTGTGTGGCCGTTTGGAGGGTGAACTATTGGATAATATCTTTCTATTCCTCTCTGTAACTCTGCCTGTCAAATGAATTAATAAATTAATGGTGTCTTTTTTTTTTTTTTTTAAGATTTATTTTATTTTTACTGGAAAGGCAGATATACAGAGAGGAGAGACAGAGAGGAAGATCTTCGATCTGATGATTCACTCCCCAGGTGGCTGCAACGGCTAGAGCTGAGCCAATCCGAAGCCAGGAGCTTCTTCCGGGTCTCCCAAACGGGTGCAGGGTCCCAAAGCTTTGGGCCGTCCTCGGCTGTTTTCCTGGGCCACTGGCAGGGAGCTGGATGGGAAGTGGGGCTGCCAGGATTAGAACCGGCGCCCATATGGGATCCTGGGCATGCAAGGCGAGGACTTTAACCACTGTGCCATCGCGCCTGGCCCAATGGTATAGTTTTGACTAACTAAACTACTAAAGTTAGTTTAAAATGCATAAAATATATATACATTTTAAAAATTACTTATTTGAAAGGGAAAGATACTGAAGAAGAGGGCAGACTAGTCCTTCTGCTGGTTTACTCTCCAAATGGCCACAGTGGCTAGGGCTAGCAGCTGGGACTCACATTGAATGCTGGTGTTATATTCCACACTTTAACTCACTCTGCTCCATAACACTGGCTCCTATAAAATACGTATTTTGACTATTGATTTTCAAAGTGGAAAACATCTGTTATTGATGTTGCATCATGGTGGATTGAATATTTTTTTAAATGTATTGAAATTAAAAATTGATAACTTAAACTTTACTAGAAATAATCTTTTCTCTTTTTTTCCCTCAGGTGGAATGAATCTTACTTGTTGAATATCTCCTGATCACTGGCTGGATTCACTTGTAAAGGAATCATTTTCCCCTGTGTGGAGGCCACTTCGTGGCAGATTTAATTATAAATCCAGGGATCACAAAGCTTTTTGATTTCCCGAAGGAGGGATATACCACTATATCAGATAAGCTTGACATTACAGCCAAGATGGTGCTGTCCCAGAGACAACGAGATGAACTGTAAGTTTTTCTATTTTGTGCTTTTTTAAAAAAATAAAATAAGCAGAGTTTGGGGGTTAGCGCAGAGGGTTAAAAGGAGAGAGCAAGCAAGAGAGATTTCCTCTGTCTGCTGGTTTACCCCAAATGACTGTACAGCTAGAGCTGAATTAGTCTGAAGCTGGGAGCCAGGATCCAGTTCTGAGTCTGCCCTGTAGATGCAGGGCTCAAGACCTTGTGCCTTCCTCCATTGTTCTTCCAGGTATATTAGCAGTTAGCTGGAGTGGAATAAAGCAGCTGGGACTTGAACCATAGCTCATGGGATAGCAGCGCCACAGGCAATTGCTCTGCCTGCTGTGCCATATCATTAGCCCCTATGATAGTTTTTATCTTGTTTTATTTTGTCTTTTCTCACTAAGGATTTATTTATTAAGTAAGGCAGAGTTGGGGGTGGAGCGGGGAGAATTGAGAATGTTCCATCTGCTGATTCACTTGCTAAATGACCATAATAATGACAGCTGAGCCAGGCTGAAACTAGGAGCTTAGAATTCCATCAGAATTTCTCATATCAGGGGCAAGGGCCCAAATATTTGGGCCATTTTTGTTGCTTTCCAAGACGAATAGGCAGGGACCTAGATCTGAAGTGGAACAGTTGGGGCTTAAACTGTTGCTCATATGGACTTTGCACAAGGCATCTTTAATCCACTGTGCCCAATATTGGCCTCTGAGTTTTTAAAAATGTGTTATTGTTGAAAATGAAGGTAGCTGCTTAAGAACTCTGGTTAATTTTTTGTCTAAAATTTATGTTTTACAAAAATGAGAACTTTCTTGTTATGCTAGTGACTTTTGTCTTGAACTTTTATTTTTTACCACCATCCAGTGGCTATTACAGAATTTCGTGAGATGGCTAATAAGAGAGTTACCACAAGGAAGATAGTAAAAGAAATGTGAAATGGCTTCACCACTGCAAATTTTTTAAAGTTGTTTATTTCTTTGAGTTAGAGGGAGAAGCAGAGATAGAAGGAACTTCCATCTGCTGGTCCAAAGCCACTTCTGCGTCTCCCACATGAATTCTGTGGCCCAAGCCCTGTGGGCATCCCCTGCTGCATTGCCAGAGGCTCAGTGTACTACTTACAGCGCCACTCCCTTGTCTATATAGCTATTTATATGGCATTTCATATTAATTTCCTATAGTAATTGAAAAAAAACTCTTTGAAAATAGTTTTTAGTTTATGAAAAACATTACAAGGTTAGTAAAAAGAACATATATCTTAAATTCACCTGTTAGCATTTTGCATCATTTGCTTTATCATCTGTTCTTTGGAGATGTGTGTGAGGGTGGGGTATGTGTTTCCTAAATCATTTGAGAGCAAGCTTTATATATCAACATTTTTTTTGACTGGATTCTTCAGAATCCAGTGCCTGTCTTTTTTTTTTTTTTAACATTTATTTTTGTTGGAAATGGAGATCAGATCTACAGAGAGAAGGAGAGACAGAAAGATCTTCAATCTGCTGGTTCACTCCCCACGTGTCTGCAGTGACTGGAACTGAGCTGATCCAAAGCCAGGAGCTCTTCTGGGTCTCCCACATGGGTACAGGGTTCCAAAGCTATGGGCATTGTCTGCTGCTTTTTCAGGTCACAAGTAGGGAGCTGGTTGGGAAGTGGAGCAGCTGGAACATGAACCTGCACCCATATGGGACCCTGGCACTAGCAAGGTGAGGATTTAGCCATTGAGTCAATGCACCAGTCTTCAATATTCAATTTCTAAAAATAAGGAGGTTCAGGGTCTGGTGCAGTAGCTTAAGAGGCTAATCTTCCATCTGCAGTACTGACATCCCATTCAGGAGCTAGTTTGCATCCCAGTTGCTGCACTTTTGATCCAGCTTCCTGCTTATGGCCTGGGAAGGCAGCAGAGGATGGCTTAAGTTGTTGGGCACCTGCACCTGCTTGGGTCAACTGCAGCTGTTGTAGCCATTTGGGAAATGAACCAGCAGATGATGATTTTTCTCTCTGTACCTCCTCTCTGTAAAATCTGCCTTTCCAAAAAAGAGAAATAAATCCTATTTTTAAAAAAGAGAATAAGCATGTTCTTTGAAACATAGTACAGATAGGATGGCCCAAAGCCTTGGGACCCTGCACCCATGTGGGAAACCTGAAGGAAGTTCCTGGCTCCTGGCTTCAGATTAGCTCAGCTCTGGCCATTGTGGTCACTTGGGGAGTGAACCAGTAGATGTAGGATATTTATTTCTGTCTCTCCTTCTCTGTAAATCTGATCTGCCTTTCCAATGAAAATAAGTTTTTTAAAAATAAAAATTGTTATTATCATTTTGCTTTCAGAGTAGTTTCATTCCCAACTCCACTGCCTGTTAGCCAAAACATTTGTCCCTTTACCTGTGATAAATAGCTGCTGCTTCAGTCTCCTCTACTTTGTGCTATTCTGTGCATCGATATAAATTTGTAAGAAATGCTGGGGACTTTGAGATACTCAGCTTTTATTGTTAGTGCTATCCATTCTCTTTAGAGTTGTAATTTGACTAGTTGATGATAGCAGTCTGTGATAGTGGTGGGGTGGTATGACTGCTGCGAAAGTTACCCTCTGGCATGAAAGAACAGTGAAAGAGATTTTAAGGTAAACTTCATAAAATGAAATCTTAGCATTTTATGTAAATTTGGGATAAATTAGAAAGCAAACTATTTCATTTGTTATTGTTAAGGGGTTTTTATTATTATTATTCAGTATACTGCTTTCTAAGATTTATTTATTTTTATTTGAAAGACGAAAGGAGAGATAGAAAGATCCTCCATCCACTGGCTCACCCTTCAGATGACTGCAACAGCTGGAGCTGAGCAAATCTAAAGCCAGGAGCTTTTCTGGGTCTCCCACGTGGGTGCAGGGGCCCATGCACTTGAGCCATTCTTCACTGCTTTCTCAGGCCACAGGCAGAGAGCTGCATGGGAAATACAGCAGTCAGGACACAAACTGCAGGGCCCTTATGGGAAGTTTAGGATTAGCAATTATCCTGGGCCCAGTTACAGTAGTTTAAGTAGGAGTATCGCCAGTTGTTTGATGCGAAGTCTGAGACAGTTGAGGGGTGGAGTTTTGTGAGAGATGGCTCTTTAGTCTGCTGCTTCCCTCCCAAGTGACTGCAACAGTCAGACTGAGGCCATGCTGAAGCCAAGGGGCCCAGGCATTTGGGTGTTCTTCCTCTGCTTTCTCAGGCTATAAGCCGGGAGCTGGAATGGAAATTGAGCAGCCAGGATTTGAACTGGTGCCCATAAGGGATATTCACCCCACAGCAGCCATTTTGTTTCTTATGCCCTGGCTGCCCCCTGCTGAAAGTTCTGAAGCCACAGCTGCTAAGTTCAGCTGATTTTTTTAGCACCAGATTGTGTTTATTTGACTTATCTTTCTGTTATTATTGACTCTCTGTGTTTCTTTGAAATGCTTTTCCATTGACTCACTCACATGCTGCAGACTTTACCATGGTAGGCCCATTTGTTCCCTCATCACTTCTTAAATGTTAATATCTGTTAGAGTTCTGGCATTTACATTATAGTTTTTTTCTTTTACTCTGTATCATCATCTTCCTAAATGCATTTTCCTGTCATAGTGTTAACTGCTATTACCTCTTTCCTACTTTCCCCATCTATTTCTTTTGAGCTTCTGACCTGTATGTCCATTATCTTTTATGTCATACATTTTTACTTGGTCTACCTTATAATTACTTCAGGTCCGGATATTTAAAATTGAATTGAGATTCCTACCATAACTTACACCCTTTCCTTTTCTGTGGAAGTAACTGTTAGCACCTTGCATATCTAGTCAGTTACCTGAACAGTAAAATCAAGTGTTTAAAAATATAGGGGCTGACACTGTGACTCAGTGGGTTACAGCTGACAGTACTGGTATCCTTTATTAGTCAGTTTGCTTGCTGGTTTCCAGTTCACTTCCTGGCTGCTCTATTTCCAATCCAGCTCCTTGCAGATGTACCTGGGAAAGCAGCAGAGGATGACCCAAGCACTTAATCCGTGCACTGTTCTTCCAGGGAAACCTGAAAGAAGTTTTGAGCTCCTGGCTGGGGTCTGGTCCTGCACCAGCCTTTGTAGCCACTGGGGAGTGAACCAGCAGATGGGAGATCTGTCTTCCTCTTCCACCTTCCTTTCTCTCTGTAACTCTTTCAAATAAATGAGTGTAAGCTTACCTGGTTTTGTGTCGGGGGCTTTTTTGTTAGATTTCAGGCCATTTGTGGGGTAAGCCTGTGGTGTATCAGTTCAAGTTCCACCTGGACTGCCTGTGTCTCATATCAGACTGCCTGGGTTTCAGTCTTTTTTTTTTTTTTTAAGATTTATTTTAATTGGAAAGTTAGATATACAGAGAAGAACATCTTCCATCCGATGATTCCCTCCCCAGGCAGCCACAATGGCCGGAGCTGCGCCAATCCGAAGCCAGGAGCCCGGAGACTCTGCTGGGACATGAACCAGTGCCCATATGGGATCCCGGCACATGCAAGGCGAGGACTTTAGCTGCTAGGCCGCTACGCAGGGCCCTTGAGTTTGAGTCTTGAACCTACTCTGATTCTAGCATCCTGCAGGCTAAGGCTCAGGTCATTGAGTTGCTACTCCTGAGGGAGACCTGAATTGAGTTGTCGGCTCCTGGGTTCTACTTGATTCAGTCTTGGCTGTTGTGAGCATTTAGGGAGTTATTTTACTGCTTGCTGGTTTAATGACTTCAGAAAAAGTACTCTTCAGATAGCTGAGCTTGAGAGTACACTTTAGTACCTACTTTGGTGGGTCTTTTTGGGATCCAGAGACAGTAAATAGAGACTGGTGTTGTGATGTGCACATTAAATCACTGCCATGGATACCATAGCTGTATTGAAGTGTCTAGGTTGAATTTCGCCTCTGCGCTTCTGCTTTGCCTTCTTTTACCTGAGAGCTAGAGGTGATGACCCAAAGTACTTGGGTTCCTGTCACCCCTATGGGAAACCTGAATGGAATTCTTTGCTCGTGGCTTTGTCCTGGCACAGCCCTTGCTACTGTGGACATTTGGGGAGTGAACCAGCAGCTAGGAGATCAGTCTGGTCTGTTTTTTCTTTCTTTCTGTCATTCTGCTTACCAAGAAGACAAGTAAATATTTAGGAAGAGAGAGAGGGATTTTTGGATTTCTTTTGAAAAGCAGAGTGACAGAAAGAGAGATCTCATTTGCTGGTTCACTTGGCAGATGACCACAGCAGCCAGGGCTGGGCCAGGCTGAAGCCAGGATTCAGGAGCTTCAACCAGGTCTTCCAGATGGGTGTCAGTTCTTGAGCCATCATCTTCTGCCTCCCAGGCCACATTATGTATAGGATGCTGGCATGGAAATATGACAGATACACACCCTGTCTGGGCTGTCCTCACCAGCAACAGCTTGTTGCCACATCAGTCCTAGACAGTAAAAGTTTTTGAACTTGAGTTGAAGAATTTTATAGTAGTGAGTATAATGTATAAAGAGCAGCTCATTTGAGGTGCTACTTTATGCACATTGTATGCAATCTGGCAATTGTATTTGTTAGAAACCTTTATGAAATGAAGGTGATAAAGACATATGATGTTGTGTGGGGCATAAATTGCTACAATTCTTGGAAACCGTTTGGTAGAAATTAAAATATCTTTTTAAAAATCTGTGTGTTGGGCCCAGCATGGAAGCCTAGTGGCTGAAGTCCTCTCATACCAAGGATTCCATATGGCAGCTGGTTCATGTCCTGGCAGTTCTACTTCCCTTCCAGCTCCCTGCTGTGGCCTAGAAAGCAGTTGAGCACGGTCTAAAGCCTTGGGACCCTACGCGCTCATGGGTGACCTGGAAAAAGCTTCTGGCTCCTAGCTTCGGATCAGCTCAGCTCCGGCCATTGCAGCTAGTTGGAGAGTGAACCAGTGGACAGAGGATCTTTCTGCCTCTCCTTCACTTCATAAATCTAACTTTCCAATAAAAATAAATAAATATTTTTTAAAAATCTATGTATTTGATTCAGATGTAAAGATGTTAGATGACCTTTATCTACATGGATATTTTTTGGCAACATCATTTAAATTAATAGAGAATTAGCCCCTGAACATCTAACTGTAGATCGGTTTCTTTAATAAAATTGGGTGTCCATATAAGAATGTTGTATCATTGATACTGTAAGTGAATATTGACAAAAAATACTGATAATTAGGTTGACTTGTTTAAAAGTGATATGTTGAAAGAAGTGGTGATCATCTCTGGAAGAATACGCACAACGTGGGATGATGCCATGGCAAAGTAGGATAAGCCTCCACCTCAGTGCTGGCATTCCATATGGGTGCCAATTTCAGTCCTGGCTGTTCCCCTTACAGTCCAGCTCCAGCCACTGTGACCATTTGGAGAGTGAACCAGCAAATGGAAGTTCTCTTTCTCTTGTCTCTCCTCTCTATAAATCTGCCTTTCAAATAAAATTAAAGAATACAGGAAACACTAAGTGGTTGCTTTAGGGATGGGATATTCAGAATCAGTGATAGGAAAGGACACTTGATCTGCATCTGTAAACTTAAAATGTTTAACCTTGTTTGTATATTAGCTTTCAGATTGCGTAGTTCAAAAATGTGTTAAAGGAAATTTCAAATAAAAGCTGTCTAAGACTCAAAAGAATTGAGTCACAGATGAATTAGGTATGTTAGGAAGGTAGCCCATGTTTCCTTCTCTGAAAGAACAAAAGACAGCACCCTTTTAGCTTGTCTAACTTCCCTAATTCTCAGGGACTGTCCTGCTGTGATAGGGCACTGTTCAAGACTTTGCTTTCACCTGTTCCAACAGTTTGTATTTCTGATGTTAAGTATGTAGAACTTTATCCAGACATATTTCTGTAAAACTAACACTCAGTTGGGAGTGGGGAATAATACTCAGTTGCTCGTCAAGTGTAACAGGGAGTAAGAAGATGTTAAGTTGATGAATTGTGTCACAGGTTGATATTACATAAACCCTATCTTGTCCATAGCTTTTGAGGTAAAACTTAGGAATAATTAATATTGTGGATGTACTTTGAGGTACTAAGTGCTTTACATGTAATGTAGTCCTTTTGTATGAAGCATTTGAGTGATTTAGAAAGTTAGTTTTCAATTAAATATTTAACTCAGTCTTGGGAGATTTGAAGTAGTAGTATTTCTTTATAATAGAAATTATTAAAAAGGAAATTATAGGATTGTAGAAGTCATTTGAAATTGTTTTCTTTCAGAAATCGAGCTATAGCAGATTATCTTCGATCAAATGGCTATGAAGAAGCATATTCCGTTTTTAAAAAGGAAGCTGAACTAGATATGGTATGTTTGACTTTTTGCAATTATCTGTAGTTAATGAGTGTATTTTACTTAAGTATCAGTATAGTAAACTTTGTTAATGTGGTTTACTTGACATTTAACTTGATTTTTACATTTTTCTTTAATGTACAGTCATTTTTTAGCAATGTTTGAAATTAGAGCTGAATGGTCTCTGGCTTCAACCATCATATTTTAAGTCATTTTTTAAAGTTCTCTTTTTTTTTCTTTAGAATGAGGAATTAGATAAGAAGTATGCTGGTCTTTTGGAAAAAAAATGGACATCTGTTATTAGATTACAAAAGAAGGTAACAGACTTTTCTTCTTCAAAGTTAATTTTTAATTTCCTTTGTTAAACTTTGATCTGGACAGATCACTGCTGATTAATGTTAATTTATGCAGCTTGGGGTATGGGCTGGGCTTCTCCAGCATCCCGGCTTTGAGGAGTTGGTATGGTTAAGAACTAATGCATTTGTGCTTTTAGAAGGGTAACGTGGGAGCCAGTGTTGATTAGCATAGCAATGTAAACGGTGGTTTGGAAAGAACTTACTGAAAGGAGAAATCTTGGTGGACTGCTGTTCCTCTGGTTAGTGGTAGAAGCCTCTGCAACCCAATGTAAATTGAGAGCTTTGGCACTCAGGTTTTCAAGGTATAATTCAAATCTGACAGATGCCTTACAAATCACTAAAATAGCAAAAATCCTGAAAGCAGAGATGAAAAAAATTATGCTGTTTTTATTGGAATCTATCTGTTCATAACTGTTCTGTCTCAAGGTTATGGAATTAGAATCAAAGCTAAATGAAGCAAAAGAAGAATTTACTTCAGGTGGACCTCTTGGTCAGAAACGAGACCCAAAGGAATGGATTCCCCGTCCACCAGAAAAATATGCCTTGAGTGGTCACAGGAGTCCAGTCACTCGAGTTATTTTCCATCCTGTGTTCAGTGTTATGGTCTCTGCGTCAGAGGATGCTACAATTAAGGTAATCTTTTTTTTAAAAAAAAGAAAGAAAGAAAAAGACACTGATTGGGTGAGAAATTAAAGTATCCAGAACAAGAACTTGAGCAGGATAGAAAGGACTCTTAAGATTGTGAAGGATTTGGAAAGAATTCAAATAAAATTTCATTGAATCTCTTGAGGCACACAGCCGTATTCACTGATGAGCTTGAGAAAATGCAGTATTGTTAATTCAGGCTGGCAGTAGGTCACCTCATAGTCAAATTATTTTTTGTTCTTGGAGAATAAAGTATGTGTCCTACTTTATTGTATTTTTTTATTGGAAAGGCAGGTATACAAAAAGAAGGAGATACAGAGAGAAAGATTTTCCATTCACTGGTTTACTCCCCACGTGGCTGTAATGGCTGGAACTGAGCCAAGGCGAAGCCAGAGGAACTTCTTCCAGGTCTCCCACATTGGTGCAGGGTGCTAAGATGTTGGGCCATCCTCTGCTCCTTCCCAGGCCACAAGCAGGGAGCTGGGTGGGAAGTGGAACAGCCAGGATTAGAACTGGTAGCCATATTGGATCCCAGCAGATATATATATCTAATTGGAAAGGCAGGCTTGCAGAGAGAAAGATCTTCCATCCATTGGCTCACTCCACAAATGAATGCATTGGCCCAGCTGGGCTGATATGAAGCTGGGACCTAGGAGCTTCTTTGGGGTCTCCCACGTGGGTGGCAGGGTCCAACCACCTGAATTGTCTTATTGCTTTTCCCAGGCGATTATAGGGAGCTGGATGGGAAGTAGAGCAACTGGGATGGGAACTGGTGACCATATGGAATGCTGGCACAGGTACAGGCTTAACCTGTGACAGTGCTGGCCCAGTGAGTCCAGTTTCTAAATCAATCACTTCCCGCTTGTAGGCTGGTGGTCATAGGGTAGACTGCAGAATAATTTTAAGTTTCTGCTTTCATATAAGTCTTTTGTTACGATGTACTAAAAAATGACAACTTTTAAAAAAATATGTTTTGTAAGTATATTTTCATCCACATGAAAAAAGAGAGGGAAATATCTTCATTAACTGATTAACTCCATAAATTACACATACAACAGCAAGACTTGGACATACTGGAGACAGGAACCCAGAACTACATCCTGGTCTCCTCCATGGATGGCCAGGACCAAGTAACTGAGTTGTCGTCTGCTGCCCTCAGGCTGCATCAGCAGGAAGCTGGATCTGAATGGAGGAGCTGGGACTGAGCCTGGCACTCTGAGGAGAAATCCAGGTTTTGCTAGCAGTGTGCAGTGGTTTAACCGACTGCCACAACACCCGCCCTTACAGCTGCCATTGGGAGTTGTTGGAGGAAGAAACCATCTCAAATAGATGTATTGACTTTTGCAGCATAAAGAAAATTAAAGTGCCATCTTAAATATCTGTTAAGCAACTGTATTACAAGTGATAGCTTTAAGTTTTCCATTTAAAATTGTAATTTTAAATGCAACTACTAGTAGTTTTCGTTTCACCAATGAAAAGTACCTGTGCATAGTCAGCATGTTTTATTTGGTTTATTTTTTATTTATTTTAGAGTTGGTTCACTTTCAGTGGTTTCAGTTATTCTATGATCAACCACACTCCAAAACTATGATACAGTACGATAAGATTTTGAAAGATACCACATTCACGTAACTTGATATATAAGTGTGATTAAATTTCTTTCAATGCCTTGTTTATAAATTTTATCATAGGTATATTAAATGAGAAAACGTATGCACATGCACACACAGGCTCAATCCTTTATGCAGGTTCAGAACACAGTTCCTGAGGCTGGGGCTGCTGCTGTTAACACAGAATCATACTTTTTGTAAGAGTGATTTGAGGAAGATATTTCACTTAGCACTTGGACCATCCTCTGCTACTTTTCCAGACACATTAGGAGGGAACAGGATCAGAAGTGGAACAGCCAGGATTCAGTAGAGCAGCTGGGAGTGAAACCAGTACCCAAATGGGGTGCTGGCACTGCAGTGGCCCAACCTGCTCTGGCACAGCGCTGGCCCCGATTTCCACATTTGAAAATCAGTCTGGGCAATATAGTGTTAGCATTTTCCTTCCCCCACCCCGTTTAATTTGTGACAAAATTCAAGTTAGGATTGGGAGAGCTTTGTTAACTTGATTGAGGGTAAAGGAAAATAACTGAAAAACATAGGAGACGTGGTTCTTAGGTAAACAGGTCTGCTCTAAGGTCAGAAACCAGGGCCAGGATGAGTAGTTTCTACACTGTACTGGAGTTTCTTTCCTGTGCAGCAATGAAGAAGTGAAAGGCATATAGATTGGAAAAGAGGAAGTGAAGTCTTTATTTGCAGATTTTGTGATCTTCGTTGAAAGTGCCCAGGAATTTATCACAAAAAGAATGATGGCTGAATTTTACAGAATCTGAGGATACTAGGTTAGTATTAAAAAAGTCACTGTAGGAGTGGGCTTTAGGCACAGTGGTTAGGAACTGCATGTCCCAGACTGGAGTGTCTGAATTCAGTGCTTGCCTCTGGCTTACTGTCTCACTCCAGCTTCCTAGTAATGTAAATTTTAGGAGGCAACAATGATGCCTGAAGTAATTGGGTTCCTGCCAACCATGTGAAAGACCACAGTTCAGTTCCTGGCTCCCAGCTTCCTTCTTGGCATAGCCTTGCTTCTCGTGTGTGTTTGAGCAGTAAACAGGAGTAGGTGCTTACCATGTCTTCTAAAAAAATTTTTTAATTGTGTTTCTATCTATAAATTAACAATAATTGAAAAATCAAAGTACATCTATACTGGCATCAAAAATCAGTGAGAATAATAGTAAATCTTAACAAAATGTGCACAGAACGAAACAATTAAGTACATGAAAGTAACATGTTTAGTTGATAAAATTCTACTTGTATTAGAGTTCAGATTTCCTGTGAAAGAAGCATTTTAGGGCTAATTTTAAGTCACAGCACATTAAGCCACTGCTTAGGACACTTATCTCACATTGAAGTGCTAACTTGAGTCTTGCCTGTTCTACTTTTGATCCAGCTTCTTGGCCAGTGTGACTGAGTAGCAAATGATCACCCAGGTACTTGGGCCGCTGCTGCCATGTGGGAGACCTGGAAGGAGTTAAGTTACAAGTTCTGGCTTTGGCCTGACCCAGCTCTTGCTGTTGTAGTGCTCTGGCAAGTGAATGAGTGGATGGAAGGTGTCTAGTACTCCCCAATTGCCCCCTGCCGCCTTCCCACTGCCGTCCTGCCTTTCAAGTAGAAAAAAATTTTTTTAAGATTTATTTATTTTTATTGGAAAGTCATATACACAAAGAAGAGCAGAGACGAAGAGGAAGACTTTGTGAATGGTTCAATCCATAATGGCCTCAACAGCCGGAACTAGCCAATCCAGAACCAGGAGCTTCTTTCAGGTCTCCCACACGGGTGCAGTCTTTGGGCTGTGCTTGACTGCTTTCCCAGGCCACAAGCAGGGAGCTGGATGGGAAATGGGTCACTGGGACATGAACTGGTGCCTGTGGTGCTCATTTGGGATCCTGGTGTGTGCAAGGCAAGGAGTTTAGCCACTAAGCTGCTGCGCCGGGCCCTCAAGTAAATAAATCCTAAGAAATATATTTTGTAGGGCTGGTGCAATGGCTTGATTGGCTAATCCTTAGCTTGCAAGTTCCGGCATCCATATGTCTCATTCTTCCGCTTCTGATCCAGCTGGCCTGGGAAAACAGGCTGGTCCAAAGCCTTCGGGTCTTGTACCGGTATGGAAGACCTAAAAGTGGCTCCTGGTTTCAGACTAGCTCTAGCCATTGTGGCCGTGTGTTGAGTGAAACAACAGATAATGATTAGTAAATTTGTAAATAATTAGTAAACAATATTTTTCCAAGAGATATTTTTATGTAATTTTGATGATGTAGAAATTTATATTTTTTATGTTACAATGTCATGTTCATTCTTTTTGGATATAAAATTTCTGTTTAGCCAATTCTTTTTTTCATTTATTTATTTTATGTTTTTGTTATATTTTTGACAATCTTTACATAGTTAATTAGGGTAAATAGGAAAGTGGGTAAGACTATTATTTCCATATTGTTTCCTTCATGTTTAAAGGGGGATATTAAGGGAGAAAGCCCACCCAGTTTCCCACTCACCCTAGGTCCCGGAAGTAGGGCATGCTCCAAGGTTCTTGTTCAAGTGGTTTTAATGGTTTACCAGTTATGAATCGCTGCCATTCTTGCCACTCCAAGCTCGATGAGATCTTTAAAGAATCCATGGATTGACATAGTCCATCATAGAGTCTCCGTTTGCTCACTATTTCGCTGCCAACATATAGCTGAGGTGGTTGATTGACCTGTTCTGTCTTACGTCTTTTCTTGGTTAGGGTTCTGAGTCCAGCATTTCGGTTGGGGAGATCCCCAAGAAACTTTATCTGATGTGTTCCCAGACCAGATTCTTGTATGTACTAGCAAGTACAGAGCCCGGCACGGTCTATCGCCCCAATCAGCTGGTAGTTGCAGTTGCTGGGTTGGTTCTGTTTTCAGCCCCAACTTCCACTGGAACCAATGGTGTTGCAGTCCAGCCTGGTTCTGCCCAGCACATACTCGGCCCTTGCATAAACCAGTGGGAGCTGCAGCCTAGTCAGAGCGACCCACAATAACCCCCACCAGGCCCGCCTCCTACACTGGTTTGCCAGTATGTGTAGCTGTAGTCCAGTCTGTCCCACACCCCATTCGTTAGCCAATTCTCTGATGTTGAATATTTAGATGTTTGCAGATGCAGTTTATAAAGTTCATACACCCTACTTCACAGATAGTTGTATTCATTATGAAAAGTATAGACTCAGTTTGATTTTAGAACAGAGAATTGGTGTGGGTTAAAGAATGAACTTTGGGCTGTCATTTGCACTCTGTTGTTGTTGATAGTATATTTTTGAACCAAATCTTTTTCTGTTATTGATGTTTTCTATTCCTTCAGAAAAATTGCCTTCAGTTTTTTGTTGTTCAGTTCAGTTTTTTTTTTAATAAAATGCTATTCTTGAACAGTGTATATCTTATAAAAACTTTCTTTGACACGTTATTATAGCAGAACGAGTATTCCTCCGTTTTCCCTAAATATTGTATTTGTAAATGCATATAACTTGAAGATGAGGTGTCTTCTGCTTGTTGTTCGGTTAATTGGTAGTGTGCTAGAGTGGCCTGCTGGGTGCAGATGTAAAATGAGAAAGAGGTTGATGTTAACAAGTCTTCTTTTCACTTGACAGGTGTGGGATTATGAGACTGGAGATTTTGAACGAACTCTTAAGGGGCACACAGACTCTGTACAGGACATTTCTTTTGACCACAGTGGCAAGCTCCTGGCCTCCTGTTCTGCAGATATGACCATTAAACTATGGGATTTTCAGGGCTTTGAATGCATCAGAACCATGCATGGTAAGGCTAGAAGATAGTACCTTAATAGTGATTCCTACAGTGATACTTCATACATAAGAATATTGGTTTGTTTGATTTTTAAAAGGGTTATTTATTTTGGGGCTTGTCACAACAGCCTAGTGGCTAAATCTCTCTATTGCATCCTCTGGGATTCCGTGTAGGCACTGATTTGTGTCCCAGCTGCTCTGCTCCTTTTCCAGCTCCTTGTTTGTGGCCTGAGAAAGCAGTTGAGGATGGGCTAGAGCCTTGGGACCCTGCACCCGTGTGAGAGACCTGGATGAAGCTCCTGGCTCCTGGCTTTAGTTCGTCTCAACAATGGCCATTGCAGCCACTTGTGGAGTGAACCAGGGGACAGAAGATCTTTCTGTCTCTCCTCTCTAAATCAGCCTTTCCAATAAAAGTAAATAAGTTTGTTTTATTTTGTTTTTGAGAATTTTCTTAAAAAGATTATTTATTTTTATTGGAAAGATTTATAGGAGAGACAAAGTTCTTGCATCTGCTGGTTCACTCCATAAGTGGTCACAACAGCCAGAGCTGAGCCAAAACTGAGCTTCTTCCAGGTCTTCCCTGCAGGTGCAGGGTCCCAAAGCTTTAGGCCATCCTCCACTGCTTTCCTCTAGGTTATAAGCCAAGGAGCTAGATCAGAATTGGAGCACTTGGGACTTGAGCCAGTGTTCATATGAGATGCCAGTGCTTGTAGATGTAGAATTTGCAATTTGAGCCATTACACTAGCCCCCAAAATACTGGTTTCAAACAGGGTACATTTTCTCTGCATTAGACTCTTTTATGTGTTGTTGGAGGATCAGCCATAGTAGTTTACATAAGGGTGATTTGTTCCTTTATTTGTTTCTTCGTTTAAAAAAAATACCTGGGGGCCCGGTGCGATAGTGTAGTGGTTAAAGTCTTCGCACGCGCCTGGATCCTATATGGGGGCCAGTTCTAATCCCGGTGGCCCGCTTCCCATCCATTTCCCTGCTTGTAGCCTGGGAAAGCAGTCGAGGATGGCCCAAAACCCTGGGACTCTGCACCCACATGGGAGACCCGGAAGAGCTCCTGGCTCCTGGCATCAGATTGGCTCTGCTCCTGCCATTGCAGCTGCTTGGGGAGGGAACCGTCAGATGGAAGATCTTCCTTTCTGTCTCTCCTCCTCTCTGTACATGTGCCTTTCCTATGAAAATAAATAAATCTTTAAAAAAAAAAAAACAAAAACCTGCCAAACTACTTACTTTCTTTAAGGAAGAGAAATGGATGGTGCTCTTATTTTTTTCTCCTGTTTTTCTGTCTTGAAGCTGAAGTGCAGAAAGGTGGTGTACTAAAGGCACTGCCCTGAGTCCCTTGTTCCCTTCAGGGAGCCTCTGTGTAAACACTTGTCCTTGTTGGTAGCATCTCCAGGTTGCACTTGGAAAACTTTTTCTCAGGCAGTGTTGGTTTGAGGAAAGAGGGTGAGCTTTAGAATCAGATGCCTGCTTGTTCCCCCATGGCGTTAAAAATATTTAACCTCTTTCATCTGGAAAATAAAGATGGTAGCACCCAAGTCCTCGAGCTATCCTAAGGCTAAAGGAGATTAGGTACTTTAGGCGTCTGGGTGCAGTGCATAGAAGTTGCTCACTAAATGGGGATTTTTGTTGTTTCTCAGGACATGATGAAATGTGAAGGCTGGGATTCTATGTTTAGCAATGAAATTTTTAAAGGATTGATTAAAATGTGAATGCATAGAAGATGAGGTTCGAAGAATGGATTTTATTTCCCACATCAAATGCATTAAGGAAGTTTACCAGTTAGAGCAATTCTGGCAAATTCATTTGTAAAAATTCTCTATTTACATTTCATTAAATTGTGTCTTATTGCTCTGATTTTTAAAGGGGGGGTTACAACAATTTTATATTCCTTAAAATAACATGATATTTGTGAATATAATTCTCTGGAACTTTTTCCACAAAGGACAGCTGATAATTGCTAAGAATGATGTATATGGGATAGTGTTATTTTTTCTCCTACGGAAATCAACAAAATGATAATCCTCAAACTGATCCTTCATGATTTTAAATCAATTGCTGAAATTTGATCATAAGCAGAGCTGTTTATGGTTTGTTTTGTACATCGAGGTATTTTACCTTGTGTATTTAGAACTTGCTGTTGTATTTAAAACCCCATGGTAAGCTGAAGTTTAATTGCTCTTGATGTTAGATCATGTTACCCTCTTTTTTTTTGTATATTTTAGGCCACGACCACAATGTCTCTTCAGTAGCCATCATGCCCAATGGAGACCACATAGTGTCTGCTTCAAGAGATAAAACTATAAAAATGTGGGAAGTACAAACTGGGTAAGTAGGTTTAGTAGCAAAAGAATCAACCTAATCGATATTAAAGACACAATCAAAACAAAATTGGGTGCTGAGTGTTCTTAGCAGTTGTGGTTTTAATGAATGACCAACATGATAGTTGTATAGTTTAAAACTAACTCATGTTTTCTTTAAATGCTGTTTGAATATTTTCCACATTAAGGAATACAGAGGCACGGTCATTGAGAGCTTTGTTTAAGGACTTACTTTCTTTGTAGTCTTCAAGGTGATTTGTGTGGGTTTAGATTAAAATGTAAATAATGTTTGCTTGCACTTAGAATTACACTTGATTGTTACAGTTAAAACCTTAATTTGTTGCTCTTTTATAGATTAGTAAAGCATAGCATTATTCCAGTATGGCTAGAAATATTTTTGTTAAATTTATCTTGTATGTGTAGTCTTGAATGATTTTATTGCTGTTTTTTTAACAAAAATAATTTATTTGAAAAACCCCCACATATACAGAGTGCAGGAAGTTCCCCACATACTTGCAGCTCAGTCTCTCACTTGAGCCATTCGCTGCTACCTTCTGATCTATGCATTAGCAGGAGGCTGGAGTTGGCAGTGGAGGACTTCAGTAACAGAATGCAGGCATACCAAGGAACAGCTTTGTTAAGAACTGGCCAACTGCCCAGCCTCAAAGAGTCTTTCTTTGTATGGTGTACCTTGTAGATTCTGTTGATTCGGTTACCTTTTTAACGATGCTTGCTCATCAGAGTATGTGAATTGACATGTGACTTTCTGGCATATCCTCATCTTGTATTAACCAACATTGTCTATTTCCACTACTGATTTTCATTTCTGTAATTTGACAACCCCTCTATTCCAATGCATAACTTTTTTTCCCTTCTTCTTTATATCATTTCTGGGATGTATCCTAATGGTTGTCACTCACAGTGTAATTACTTATTTTGACAGCTACTGCGTGAAGACATTCACAGGACACAGAGAATGGGTACGTATGGTGCGGCCAAATCAGGATGGCACCCTGATAGCCAGCTGTTCCAATGACCAGACTGTGCGTGTGTGGGTCGTGGCAACAAAGGAGTGCAAGGCTGAGCTCCGAGAACACGAGCACGTGGTAGAATGCATTTCCTGGGCTCCAGAAAGCTCATACTCTTCCATCTCTGAAGCAACAGGATCTGAGGTATTGTATGATTTAAGTGTCATTTCATACTTTTATTTCTGATATCTTAGAATCTTAGAGCACTAAATAACTTCTTTAATCCCAGTTCCAAAGTTGCTGATTCCTTAAAAATTTTGCATCTCAGATTTCTGGGTCTTAAAACACTGCCTTTTTTTTTTTTTTTTTTTTTTTTTCCTCTAATAATGATTACATGGTTGATCAGGCTGGGAAAGATTGAAGTTTAGGGAAAATTGGGTAAATTCATTGCTTCCAAATTTGCTGTTTCATCTTGTTGTTCCTGGGGGAAGGGGAGAAACAAAGGGGAAAACCACTCACGACTTTCCACACGTCCCAGTACCCAGGGATGAGGAACTGCCACCCGATATCAGCCCAGAGTGTCAATGTGTACATATTCTAAGGGTTCTGTCCAAGTGGTTTTGATAGTTCTCGAATGCTGCCAGTTTTACTGATCTGAGGATGATGTCAACCTACCAATGTCTCTTGGCTGCATTCACTGAGATTTTTGGCTGTCATTGTTTGGGGTAGTTGTCTAGTTCTGTTCTTCTGCTACAGAACCAAATATGTTGCCATGTTATCCTTTTACAACAAGGCCTGTGTCCACTGCTCCCCTTTTTCATTAAGTAGGACATGTTCTTGCAGGCAAGTCCAAGTACCTGAGATAGGTGTCCATCACCGAGTCACCCACCCCTGAGGCTCATAACCCTGGCACCTACCTCGCAGGTAGGCCCCAAGACCTAGGCCAGCAATCTGAGCTCCACCCAACCCCTCACCCCGGGGCTCACAAATGCGGCTTCCTCCTAGTAGGTGGGCCCTGGGACCCGTGCCAGGTGACCCAAGCCCCACCAGATCCCCCATCCCCAGGGTTCACAAAATCAGTACCCACCTAGAAGGCAAGCCCCAGGATCTGGGCCAAGTGACCCAGGACCGGAGCCAAGCTACCTAGGCCCTGTCAGATCTCCCATCCCTGGGACTCACATACCTGAGTCCTGCTGGGTCCAGGCTGGCATGACTTGTCTCACCTCAACATCCATAGCGCAGCCTGTTCTAGTCTAGTCTGTTCCCTGTTCCAGCTCCTGCTGGTAGGTGGTACAGCCTAGCCCAGCCCAGCCTGATTGCTGTCCCAATCCTAATGTAAACTGGCTGGTATTGCAGCCTAGTTCTGCCCTCTACCAGTCCTGCCCTCTACCCTGTGATTCTCAGATCTACCAGTGGGTCTTATGTGTTGGCCCAGACTGGTCTATCCCCAGACCTGATGCACATGTATGCCAGCAGTACTGTAACCTGGCATGGTCTAGGCTGCTCCTTGCCTTGCTTCTTTTGCTCACCTGCAGGGACTTTATCCTAGTGAAGGAGTTTTCCAAGCTCCTCCATCGAATCTTCTGTTGGCAGTTCTCTCACACACCAGTGGGTCATTGGCCCAGGTTGACTTTGTTCACCTCCTGTCGTGACAAGAATAGTGTCCTTACACGACTTGCCACAGCCATTCTGGTTCTTGTTGGTTGTTGCAGCCCAACACTACCCGGTCTGTTACAGCGATACTCTTCCATGTTCCTCTGTCTGTATTTTTGCCCAGTTATTAACATTGCTGTCAGCTGACCTCTGATTTGATGTGTGATAGGGAGACTACAGAGGAGTAAGAGTGGCCATTCAGTGTCCCAGAGATACCACAGGAATTTGTCAGGGCACTTTCACACTTTGAAGAAAAATAATGTTCCTTAACAGGTGTAATTATTTCACATATGAAAGAACAAACAGTGAAAGGCACCACAGTACCTTACTTAGAATGAACGATATTTCCTATAAAGGCCTTTGATACTGTAGACCCTTAAGTACTAGTCTGGGGTTTTGTTACTTTTGATTACGTGCTAAATGAAATAATATTTCTGTGACTGACTATATGGGATCAAAAGTGACCATGCTTATTTATAAACAGCCATTGCTATTGTGGATTTTTAAGTTGTAATAAGTAAACATTCCACTCCACATGTCCTAGTTATTTTTCAAAATGAAGCTTGTGTTTGATCTGTATTTTGGCTGCTTTATTATGTTTTCACATTCTTTAGATTGCCCTCTGGTGGTTGTTACGTGTATTTTATATACCTGGTTCCAGCTGAACTTTCTACAGAAATTTTCTCAGTGTAAATTCATCATTCATTGGTGTTATGGCAACTGAATCTTAACCCAATTGAAGATTTTTTGAATTTTTACATTATCTGAGTCTTCCCGTATAGCTTAGGCATAATGTCAAAGACTGTATTTTAGAACACAATAGAAAAATCACATATTACAAAATTGTGCGTTTATATTTAGGTGGAAAACATTTACACTCCTTACTTCATTTCTTGCAAGAGAAACTGTTTTCCTTCCTTTTTAAACCATTTTCAGAATTTTTTACAGAAAATATTTTATTTGTAAATGGTGATTTTCTGTGTTCACAAAATCCAAAGCTTCAAGCACTCTGTATGCTTAAAAAGTCATTTTTGTCAACGTTAGATAATATTTGCTAAGAAAACTTGGTTTTTATGTTTTCTGTAGACTAAAAAAAGTGGCAAGCCTGGGCCTTTCTTGCTGTCTGGATCCAGAGATAAGACTATTAAGATGTGGGACATCAGTACTGGCATGTGCCTTATGACTCTGGTAAGTTGGCATAATCTCATTGCTGCTTTATTCCAAGTAGTCCATACTGGGCAGGGGATGAGCGGATGTGAGAAATTAACTCCCCATAGCTTTAAAATTTGTCCGTGATGCCTACAGCGGGAGAGAGTGAAGACGTCTGCGTCCGTGGTTCACTGTTCACGTGAATCCTTTGAACTGTGCCCTCTAGAGGTCACGTGGTTAACTCACTGGCTTTATCTTACCATTCTGAAGTTAATGATTCTAACTTTATGATTTGAAAAAGTTTGTCATTTTAGGAGTGTCTAGATTTGTATATGAGGATATTCAGATGCTAGTAAGAGATTGTGGGCAATCCTGCTTGCCTCAAGGAGTTCCGGGGGTTCTTCTGCATATTATTCTCATAACAGCTTTTTAATATGATGGCTGTGTTTCGAAATTCACTAGATGCTAACCATAGCTTCAAGTGATGATATCTGTTCTGGGATATGACAGATACACAGGGAAGCACCATTAGGAACTGGCTTTTATTAGGACTCTGAGGGATTTTTTTGTTTGTTTGTTTCTCTTAGAAAAGATGAGCTACTTTTAAGATCAGAAAGCATTCTTCTTCTGTAACAATATAGTCACCATGGATTTCCCTAGAGTTTTGTGGGTTTTTTTGTTGTTGTTGTTTTGGTTTGGTTTGTTTTTTTTTTTTTTTGCTTCAGATTTATTTAATTTTATCAGAAAGCCAGATTTACAGAGAGAAGGAGAGGCAGAGACAAAGATCTTCCATCCACTGGTTCACTCCCCAAGTGGCTGTAACAGCCCGAGCTGAGCCAATCCAAAAATAGGAGCCAGGAGCTTCTTTCAGGTCTCCTACGTAGGTGCAGGGTCCCAAGGCTTTGGGCCATCCTCAACTGCTTTCCCCAGGCCACAAACAGGGAACTGGATGGGAAAGTGGGGCAGCTGGCATACGAATGGGTACCCATGTGGGGTCCCGGAGCATGCAAGATGAGGACTTTAGCCAGTAAGGCTACCACGCTGGACCCTTACCTGGAATTTATGGTTTCTGTTTTTCTGCCAAAGGATTAGTGACAGGGAGGGAATTTACTTGTTCTGGCATATTTGGTTGGACATAATAAGCATGATTTGATTTCCTACTGAGAATCTCTAATGGTTGGTGACTTTATATGTCACTGTAATAAACCAAGCCAAAGATAACATGGCCTAATCTTGTCCTTTTTATCTAAAGCTATTCACAAAAATGCTACTGACATTTCCATTGCAGGAAAACTTAGAAATGTACAGGAAATCTAAAAGAAGAAATTAAGAATTACTCTCAGATCATTACCATATCTAGTAATACTTTGCAAATATGTGTTTTTTTTTCCCCTAAGTGTGTTTGTATAAATCAGGGGTATCAATTTAACTTTCTCCGGTGATGTTTTATATCTGCGCAAGCTTGTATGATGACTACTAGCCATTTGACAAACCTTTTAAGCTCTTGAAATGTGACTGGTGAAACTGAAAAGCTGAATTAATTGTGTCATAACAGGTGGAAGCTTTACCTGCTGCACTGCAGCTTTAGTCCCAGAGAGATTGTCTATCCACTGACTGACTCCCCAGAAGCCTTGGTGGACTGGGCCAAGCCAAAACCAGGAGCCTAGAACTTCGCATGGGTGCCAGGGCCCCAAGACCTGGGCCAAATGAGAAGTGCAGTAGCTAGGAATCAAATTGGCACTTACAGGTGACAGGATTGAAAGGGATGTGCTGACTCAGTGCCACCAGTGCCTGTCCCATGTGGTGAGACCTGAGCAACCATATTCTGCAATTACCAAAATACTGGTATAGACAGTTAATGTAGATGCTGTCCAGGTCTTCTGTGCTTTTACTAAAATACTTTCTTGGTTTTTAAGGTGGGCCATGATAACTGGGTACGTGGAGTTCTGTTCCATTCTGGGGGGAAGTTTATTTTGAGTTGCGCTGATGACAAGACCCTACGTGTGTGGGATTACAAGAACAAGCGATGCATGAAGACCCTCAATGCGCATGAACACTTTGTTACCTCCTTGGGTATGTAAACATTATAAAGTTTCTGAAAAATTAGATTTTGGTGTGCCAGGTATGACAATTTTATCTGATCACATGGACTTTCACAGGTAAGAAATGACCATGTTTTCAGGGCAGGAGGGAGAAGGCAAGATAAAATCACTGGAATTCCTACTTGCATTTCCCTTTCTCTCATTCGCTGTCTCTCTTTTAGGGTGTGTGCACGTGCACAATTACAGATACACAGAGAGAGAAAATACTCCTTTTGTTATTTCTCTCCCCAGGTGACTGCAATGGCCAGGGCTAGGTCAGTTTGAATTCAGGAGTTTATTTCTGGTTTCCCATGTGGGTGCAGAGACCCAAAGGTTTGAGTCATCAGGCACTTATGAGGAAACTGCATTGTAAGTGGAGCAGCCAGGACTCAAGCTGGAGCCCATGTGGGATGCCAGTGGCATAGGCACAGGCTTAGCGTGCTATGCCACAGAGCTAGCCCTGATTTCCACCTTACAATTTAAGCAAACACGAATTTTCTCCATTGTGTAATATTGGCTTTGGAAACTAGAAGTGTGAAAAGGACATTCATTGACCATTCCAATAGGTAATTTTTCTCTCTTATTAGTTTGCAAGATTCTTGAAAGAAAGTATATTCAGCCTTTCCCTCTCAGATAAATCCACCATCATGTGTCTAGGAATTCAGGAATTGTGTTTCTGTTTAGAAAGCATGCTTTGTGTCATCAGGACTCTATAAAGTGTATGAGGGCCCAGAGCAGTGGCCCAATGGCTGAGTCCTCGCCTTACATGCACTGGGATCCCATATGAGCACTGGTCCCGACTGCTCCACTTCCCATCCAGCTCCCTACCTGTGGCCTGGGAAAGGAGTAGAGGACAGCCCAAAGCCTTGGGACGCTGTACCCACGTGGGAGACCTGGACGAAGCTCCTGGCTCCGCTTTCAGATTAGCGCAGCTCCATCCATTGTGGCCACTTGGGGAGTGAACCAGCGAAAAGAAGACGTTTGTCTGTTCTTCTCTCTGTAGATCTGCCTTTCCAAAAAATAAATAAGCCTTTAATTAAAAAAATAATAAAATGTAGTGAGCACGGTAAGTTACACTGCACACTGTGGTAGGATCTTACAATCTTCTAGCATTGGGCATAAATAAAAGGCCTAGAAGTCTGGAACATAATCACTTCTCAGCCTTTTGGCTAAGATTAAGTATAGAAGTCTGGAACATAGTATTCAGTGAATGACTGTGACAAGACTTGTCGGCAAAGACGGTTGGGCACAGAACTGCACGGGCAGGATGATGGGATCATTTAGATTTAGTTTTTCTAATCCAGTTGATAAATCAACTTGTGCCTCCTAGAGATCTAGGCGTTGAAAACTTGAGTATTCTTAAAACTTGGACTTGCTTTTCTTGTGGCTCATTAAAACTTGTGTCTGGCTCAGTCTGATCTTAAAATAAGCCTTTTCTTTTTCTTTCAGATTTCCACAAGACGGCACCCTATGTGGTTACTGGTAGTGTAGATCAAACAGTCAAGGTGTGGGAGTGCCGTTGATGGAGCCTCATGGCCCCTCCTCCCTTGTTCCTCTGGATGCACTCTGATGATACCATGGTTACCCCATTGAGCTCTGTTTAAATAAATATTGTCCTTTCATGTAAATTATTCTGGATGTAGATTGAGCTTATTAAATGTTACACACAAAGTATTCATGCATGGTGAATCCAAATTGTATACTGTAAATTTACATATGTTGTCTAGACGTACCATAGGGTTTGAAAACCTGGGCTGGCATTGGTCACACCAGGCCTAAGAAGGCAGAAGTTGAATAAATTGAACTAGGGCACTAAACTAAATAGTTGACAGTGTCGTTTTATGTTGATTAGTAATTCCTGTTTTTCTTTCTGCTATCTGTTGGTGCCTGACTTGATGGCCTCATTTGGGGAAAAGTGGTGGTTATTAGGACTTTTTGCTGAAATGTGTATCTATGTAACATCACTTAAGTGTGCTTAATAAATCTTTAAGGATGTTAGATAATAAGGCTACAATTCAAAATCTTCTGAACCATCTATGTAATTAATTGAGGATTACACATTGGAATTGTTGTCATGACACATTTGCCAAATCAGTAGGATACATTTGTTTTGGCAGCCTATCAAGCAAAGGCTAGTGGTATATTTATGTAAGAAAATGATTGTAAATCTCAAGAGAAATCTCAGCAGCTAATGGCAAATCTTTTATTTCGTTTTGGTCTTACTGCTTTGTAAACAGGTTTAAAACACTGTCATACTCTGAGCTATTTTCCACACTAGACATACTTCTAGTCGTAATTTCCATGCTATTAGACTGTATAGTGATGTGATTTCCAGGTAGAATTTAATCTTCCCATTGAGTGTCATGGTACAAATCACTATTTGTTTTTGATGTTTTTAGGGGTGTGCAATGTGCATTACATGATGACAGAAATATGGAAGAGGTTATGTTTGTTCCTTTTAGAGGTGGGAGACAGCAGTTTGCTTTTCAACAGGAATCTGCTATTGACTTGAACTTGTTTTTCATTTACAAGTTAGAAGTGTGACAGGGTTCGATGGAGCGTGCATAAAAACGTACTGTTTTTCACCTTTTGTTTATATAGAAATGTTTATTAAGTATATGGGCATATCTGTAAGAGGGTAAGTCTGTATATGTTCATCACACATATTCACACCTCCTTGTCCTAGGCTCCTGGTTTGTGGAGAAGTGCTACAGTGTACTAGTAGAGTAAATCTGGCCGTGGGAGGCAATGCTTTAGGACAAACCCCTGTTGACCTTCATGTTTCTGAAAAGTAGGTCGGGCTCTCTGGGGGTCTCTCCCAGCTAGAGGAAAGTCACTTCCGTTATCTCTTCCCCCTTCCTGCTCCCCACCCCGCCACGGTGGCCATTCAGCATTTTTACACATCCCTGATATATTGTATATTTTAATCCAAAGTTAATACAAGTAGTTTAAGAAACTTATCCAAGATTTTTGGAATGCTATCCCATTGTCAGATATTAATAAAGAATTCCACTGCTTAGTTAATAACAAGCAAGGTTTTTGTTTTTTAAGAAAGTCATTTGAATTGTTAACAGTGAAATAATGAGTTTAACAAAGAAATTTATTCTGAATTGCATTTTATTCACTTGTGTAATAGTGTTTTTTAAAATGTCCCTTTTAGTTATTTAATGGAAATTTGGTTCCTGTAAAAGACAAAAAGGTGAGAATGAATGTCCTGTAGATACACACGAATAGGCCGTGTGTTACTTAGAAGCAGCTTTCTGTCTAGCTTGTGTCTTTTTGTTTGCTTATTCTTAATAATCCCTGAGAGATGTTTCTGGAAAAGAAAGTGTTTTGAAAACTAATGGCTATTTTCGAGGACAAAAATTCCATCTTCAGCTAATCCCGTAAATGCAGTAGATAACTTTTGGGACATTATTGCCTCACAACCCTGCTTACATTGAGAACCCACTCCCCAGCACTTGCTGTTCTGACTGGACTTTTCTATAAAAGCTATGGAAATTCTCTTTGTTCTCATTTGCTGCTATTTCTTGTCCTGTTTGGAAAAATATAAATGCATAGAAAATGGTGCATCTTAACCTTTGTTTTTACATGTATGAATATCTTGTATTTTAGTTCATTTTTAGCGTGTAGCAACATGAATTGTTTGAGGGTAAGCCACGACATCTAGAAATCACTCAGATCTGAACACCACGAACGGTAAAGCAAAGAGGATGCTGGTATAAAAGACCCAGCCGCTATTGCCGGCTGGCTGATGATGCCGCACATGCCACTGACTGACAGAGGAGGAACGGCTAATCCAAGAGCCAAGTTGTGCCGCCTCGGGAGAGTGCCACGGCCCGCTGCCGACGGGCACCAGACATCCTGCACGTGAGAAGCAGTGAACATTGAATCTCAGGGATGGTCCACACCTGGATCCAAATGGAACGACCCTGTGTGAATAATGAAGGGGGTGGGGAGAGCGGTCCATCCACAATCCGGGATCCCACTTGCCAAGGTTCCCTGCAGTCGTCTGACACTGCCCTGTCGATGCCCTTTCTTACTCTGTGTTCTCTGTTTTCTCTGTCTGCTGTCTAACCCTGTGCCTTGCCTGGGATAAGGACAATGGTGTGACTGGTTTGGATTGTAAGTAGAGGACTTTGATTATTGGTTTAGAGGTTCGCTGCTGCTTTGTCACTTTTTCAATCAAATTGGCCACTTACCTAAGAAATAAAAAGCTGGTAGAATTGCCTTCTCAGATGATTGCTGACTTTTTTGTGTGTGAAAACAGACATTCCAGTGCACCCTGATACAGCGTGCCCAAGAAAGCAGGCCACGGGAGCTGTGGTTAGTAAGCCACGTGGAGAGTAGATGCTCCCTGACCTGGTGTCTGGCTTCTGTGGAGGCTGAGACGTCCCATTCTGTCTGCGTGGTGTGACCAATGGCGCGCCCGGAGCACTGCTCAGACGCTAGCGTGCGGTGCTCGCTGCAGTGTGTGCAAGCTTTGGCTCTAGTCTTGTGTCCGTCCTGCTCTCCTGCTGGCCTCTTTTCTGTTTCTGTGTGAACTTCCAGGTGAATCACTTGTCAAATAGATTTTCTTCTTTAACTTAAAAAAAATATATCTAAAAATAAAGGATATTTTGTTTGTTGACAGTGGTGGCTTGATAATCCTTAAGCAACTGAAGTTTAAATTGTTTAAGGAAAAGGCACTTAACAATGGTTACTCTTTCTGTCCAGCTGTATATAAGTCCAATGTGTTAATTAATCTAGATGATGCAAAGAAGAATCTCTGACAGCAAAGTGACATGTACAAAATTAGTGGACAAAGTTTTTGTTTTTGTTTTCCCGGCAGGGTAGTGGGGAGGGCTACAAGTCATGATGGGACTAAACTGCCTTTTTATCTTTCCACTGTATCATGTAAGTAGCTGATTTTTCATCCTGCCTATCCTTCAGGCGTCCCAAAAGCTCACTCTGAAGAAGTTAGAGGTAAACACAAACTCTTCAAGTTAGAAGTTGATCCTGACACTGACATGAAGGCAAACATTGATTTTCTATGAACGTTACAGAGGTGGTAATCGGAGACAACCGTTCCCCAGATTGTGAGAGTTAACTGAAGACTATTGACACAATTAAATCAGTAAAGGAATGTATATAATATTGCTCTTGTGTTTTACAGTAAGATTTGTTGCTCTCAGACTGTGTAAAACAAAATTTATTCATGTTTTCTGCATATTAAAAAATCTTATTGTACCAATTGGTAAACTATTAAATGCCTATAAAACTAGATGTGATATTTTTTTCCCCTTCTTGGGCACAGATTAATCCTGATATGAAGTGGGGCTGTGCTTACCAATCATGTAAGGGCAAGACATGTGGGCAGCAGGGTCTGGGCATAAGGCCTAGGACTGTGCCAGCAATGGCAGTGGGTTCCTTGCCTGGTGGCTGAGCGCAGAGCTGACTTGGTCAGCTATCTCTACATACACACCCCCTACATCTAGCTACCGGTTGCCGCTACACAGACACACACCTCCGTGCAGGGCTATGTGAGTGGGCCTTGGGGAGAAAGTGCTGCAGCCTGCGTGTGGCAGCTCTGTTCTGGAATGTGACTTGGGCATAGGCTGGCAGTTCCCAACTGCCAGCCAGGAACAAGCTGGGAATGGACATGCATTTCATGTTCCCTGTACCTTGCTCTGCTTGTACGATACATCTTACCAGCAACCTAAATGTGAGGACATTCTAAAGGACAGCTTCCACCCCCTGGTTCACTTGCTTCCTGCTGCCCCTGGTTGAATGAAGCTTGAAACCCAGCCCCAGGTGTGGCTCCCAGGAATCGGTTAGGGTTTCTAGGGTCTGCGTCAGCGGGAGGCTGGTCTGGAGCTGGACACTGCTGTGTAAGTGGGGTCTTAATTGCTAGGCCAACACCTGTTCAATTTTCTAACTGCTAACAAGGACACCCTGTCCCATCTTGGAGCCTCCTATAACCAACCACAATGCAGGCCACTGCTAACCTCCACTGGAAATGGCTGTGGGGAACAGGATGAGAATTGACTTAAGTTATGTCCCCCAAATTCAGGCTCCTCCTTATGAAGTGACTTTCTGACCTATTGGCCAGGCCTAGCCCTGGCTGCTGTGACCATGTGGGGAGTGAACCAGCAGAAAGGAGGGCTCTACTTTTTAGACAACCCTCTAAAAAGTTTGGTTCTAGAAATAGTTTTTATGGTTTAAGTTTTGCCGTGTGTGTGTGTGTGTGTGTGTGTGTGTGTGTGTGTGTGTGTGTGTCTTTTAGAAAGGCAGATTTTAGGAGAGCCAAAGATCTGCTGAGTCATTCTGCAAATGGCCACAATGGCCAGAGCTGAGCCCATCAGGAGCTTCTGCATCTCCCCTGCAGGTACAAGGTCCCAAGACTTGTGGCCATCTACTGCTTTCCCAGGCCACAAGCAGGGAGCTGGGACACAAACCAACATCCATACGGGATCCCAGAGCATGCAAGGTGAAGATTTAGCCACTAGGCTACCACACACGACCCAAGAATAGTTTCTGGACAATAGAAATAGTCACTCAAGCAAAGGGTGGAGGTAGGTGGCTGTTGTGCTGTTGTGCTGTCCAGAGCCCTGCTTGAGTGGAAGACTATTGCTCACCCACGGCCCCTTTTCCTCTGTAGAACGTACTTCATCACTTGGGTTGCCCAAAGTAACTGGTAGCACTAATACATGTAAGGGTTCAGCCAGTGGGCCTGCTTCACGTGCTGTGGAACATGGAGGCTCACGTGCCTGCAACTTTGAGTGGCTGCCTTTGGAGGTCACCCAAGAAAACTCCAACGCTAGGAACCTCCATTTCGGCTGGACCAGGGGCAGGCAACCAAGTTCCAAGCATCAAAGAGTATACTCAGGGTGCCAAGGGCTGCATGCAACCACCACTAGATTCCACTTGCAGTTCAAGTGCACCTGGGAGGCTGCCCTGCCCCATCACCTCCGCCAACCCCAGGGAGCAGGCCTGAACTTCATCCTCCAGCCACCCAAGCTTGTCATGCAGAGCTGCCCAGTCCTCCCAACTCTGAGGGGCAGGTGCCCAGGTCCCCACCATCAGCACTGACAGGTGACATCTGTGTGATCCTCCCACAGTGCTAGGCAACACTAAACATGACCTTGAACTGCACCCCTAGTGACACTGCCCTGATAACTGATTGAGATCTTGTGACAACACAGAGAAGCGGCTGCAGCAGCAGGTTTCAAAAATGCACTTTATTCCAATGTGAAATGAAGACGTGATGGTTTTAAAAACAAGACAAAGTTCTTGATCAGCTGTGGGACGCTTGCTACCTCCGGCCCACTCCCTTTGAAACAAGGTGTCTGGACAGGCCACACCCAGGAGCAGCCCTCCCTGTAAGGCCCCCTCACTTAAAGGGACCCTTGTGTGGGCTCAGAGGCAGTGACCTGGGCTGCAGAACACAGACAGGCGGGGAGAGGGGAGTGGCAGGGCGCACCTGCCAGCCCCTCAGCTGCTTTGTAGAAAAGTGCCTGTGTGGCGAGGACCAGGCAGGCCCCTTGGAGAGGCAACAACTATGCTGTGTCTGCCAGTGTCCCCCCAGGATCCATGATTCAGCCCTAGCTTCCCCACCCCACCCACACCCCCAGTGTGCGTTAGGCAGCTCAGGTTAAAATGGGGAGAAGATACATTCAGACCACAGCCCCCAAGGTTATCCCCACTGGGTGCTGGGAGTAGGGAGGAGCCTATGGCAGCACCTCCTGCTGGGCACATGGAGTCTGGGAAACCATGCTGCTCAACTCCTCTTTCGCACCCCAAAGCTATAGCCAATCATCACGAGCAAGGTGCACTGGCAGCTCCCAGCTCCGACCCCCTCTTTGATTGCGGCTTGCAACCGGACTCTGAGCCAGGGTAGGCCCAGGCTGTGGCAGCAGCAGCAGCAGCCACCAGGTGGAATACACATTATGACCTGAGAAGTCGCATCTGCATGTCACCCACTCGGAAGGGACAGAGGGCTATGTACAAGGCAGGAGGGATGAGCAAGCCACTCTCGGGCAAGGACACACTCACGTATACCTGCTTGAGGGCGAGGCCTGCAGGCACCTGCCCCCAGCCGGGAGGGACACCACACACACCATTCAAGTGTTTCCCATCAGGCCTCTGCGTCGTGTACTCACTGACCAGTGCAAAAACATCTTTTGGGGGGCGGATGGGCAAGCCATGCCAGATCCCAGAGGAAGCTGGGGTGGGGTGGGGGTGGAACATGGAGGAAGAGGGCCTCGCCTCCTCTCGCGGTCTGTAGGGCACTCCCCTTCCTCAGGGAGTAACGGGGCCGCCGACTGTCCGTCTGTGTCCCTTTCTACGCCTGCAGGCTCGGCGAAGAGGAGTCCTTGGCAGCCCCGGGCTGGGAAGCCATGTCCTGGGGAGCCCCCGCTGGCTCAGGCTCAGTGGCCATGGGCTCCTCAGCCTTGTCCCTGCTCTTGCTGGCTTCCTGCAGCTGATGCCGGCGTGCCACCTCGGCCTTCAGATTCTCCAAGTCTTTTTGACTGAAGGGAAGGAGCAGGGGAAGGGGATGTCAGTATAGGTGACACGTATGACGTGATCAGCCCTGTTCTTGATCAGAGAGACACATGCGTGGAACAGGCGCTCCCTCCCCAAAGCAGAAGGGTCCACGAGAACAAAACAAAAGAGCTCCATGCATGCGACAGTCACCAGCACGGCCTAGCTGCCTCTAGCACACAATCAGGGCTGGCCGGGGGGCAGCTGAGAGCGCCCCACCTCTGGTCAAGCATGCCCTCCTCTCCGCCCCGACACTCCCTGCCCTGTAACAGGGCCCGTGTGGAAGGCGCAGTAGAGGGTGGCAGAGAGAGGGTGGAGCCGCCTTCTATGTGCGCATCCTCGACATGGCCAGGATGCACTGCTACATGAAGCACACAGGAAGGAAATGACCCACATGCCTAGTGCGACAGTTCTGCGTACAACTAGAGGGCGAGGAAGATGACAACCCAGCATTTGCTGCATTACATCCAATAATTCTGTCTGGCCCTTTCCACGTGGGCGTGTGCCCGGGGGACAGCCGCCTGCAGGCCTCACCTGAGCGGGATGAAGAGGATGCCATTGATGACGTTGAGCTGCTCCAAGACACTGGCCATGCTGGGGGCTGTGAACTAAGGGCAGAGGGCACATATGCTGGTGAGCGAGGCCCCGTTGCCAGGGCTGGGGGAACCACCACACAGGACCAACCTTGAGGGGTGGGATGTTGGCGCTGGAGCCATTGCGGTAGATCTCATTCATGGTGCGCTGCAGGGCCACGGCCTGCTGGGTCAGGCACTTGAGGTATTCGGAACTCTCCTTGGTCTTCTCGTGGTCCTCGCCCAGCTACGGCGGTGGGGAAGGGCAGGCAGTCAGCAGGCAATCAGGGCCTCCCACATGCCATGGCCCCATCCCCCACCCTGCTGCCAGCCCCACCACAGCCCACCTGGGTCTTGTAGATGGTATAGCCTTCCTTTTCATGCTGCAGGGCTGAGCGGAACTCAGCTTTGCTCTCGTAGACCCTGGCAACCAGGTGGTGGCTGCAGGCAGCCCAGGGTGGGCAGAGTCAGGTTATGAGTGAGTCAGGGTGGCGGGCTGCCTGGCATCCACTCAAGAGCCCACCCTCTGCCCGACCTAAGGGGCACACTACAGCCTCGAGCATGAAGCAGCAGTCCCAAGGGAGGGGAGAGACCCATCCCGAGCCAGTGGAGCCTCACCTGAGTGCCACCTTGAGGGCTTTGGGTCCGTGGTACTTAGTGCTGACAGCCAACGCATTCTCCAGGAAGCGCAGCGACAGGTCATACTCCATCACCCCATGCAGCACCAGCCCAATGTTGTTCTGAAGGGACAGTCAGGGGTGGGGGCACCTGATCAGCTCTAGTGCCCCAGGCCTGAGGCTGGCCCAGGCCGGCCCCAGCTGCCCTCCATCCCGGGCACTCACGTCCAGCAGAGCCATCTCTGGGTGGTCCTCCCCGAACACCAGCAGCATGAGGTAGCGAGCACGGTATAGCAGGCTCAGGGCCGTGGACAGCTGGCTGCTGGCGAAGCAGTACAGGGCCAGGTGCATCTGCAGACAGGGCCAGGGTGGGTCAGGGAGGCCTGGGCCCCCGCTGCCACTGCCACACGCCTGTCCCTGGCTGGCTACTCACATATTCCTGGATGGTGTTGGGGTGCTCGATGCCCAGCACTCGCTCACTCATCAGCACTGCCTTCTGCTGGTTACTCAGGGCCTGGGGAGGGGGGACTCAGGATCAGATGCTGCCTCAGCACCCCCAGGGAGGCTGCACTTCCTACTCTGATTTTGCATGAAGGCAGCTAGGATGGGTCAAAGTCAGCTGCTCTGGCTGGGGGAGTGTAGGTCCCTTGAGAGCCTTGGCAGGCTAGTTGCCCCAAGCCTTTTCCCCACTAACTGGGTCTATGCAAAGGCACACAAAGCCAAAGCCATGCTGAAGCAAAATACTGTGCAAAAACAGAGATCCAAGGTAGAAACAACCCTCTGTATGCAAGGGGCAGTGGGGGGCCTACCCACCTCCAGAGCAGCCTGACGAAGCTGGGTGGGCCCTGAGCAGTGTGACTGCAACCCCAGGCACAGTCCCAGGGCTGTGCAGCACCTGCCACCTGCCTGAGGTGCCCCCTCACTTTTTTCCTATCAGGGCACAGGAAGCTGTCCATTCCCCCAGCACTAGGACTAGGGAACACTCACCGAAGGAGCCAGGCCTAGGATCTGCCTGCATGCTGCCTGTTCCCTACAGGGGCCCCCAGAAAAGCAGCCAGGAAGCCCACGGCCCCAGACCCAAACCCCGCAGGCCCACCTCGGCGTAGTCGCCCATGATGTAGTGGAGGCGGGCCAGGAGGCGCAGGCAGGCACAGATCTCCACGTGCATGGCTCCATACACGTTGTTGAAGAGGTTCAGGGCCTCGCTGATGAGCTCACAGCCCTCCTTCAGGAAGCCTGCAGGGCACCCCAGGGCCAGCAAGGTCAGGGCCAGGCCGCAGCAGGGTCCCACCTCCACGCAGCCCACCTGGCCACGCACCCTGCTGTACTTTGGCCTGCCCGCTCTGGAAAAAGTGGAAGGCATCCGAGGCCTTGGGGTTGACGTGCTTGACCACGGGGAAGATGTTGAGCACGTCCTCCTCGGTGAAGGCGGGCTTGTGGCGGCTGTCGAAGCTGTACTCCTTCAGCAGGATCTATGGACACAGCCCAGCAGGCGCCTCAGCTCCTGGCCGCCCCTGCCCCGCCTCCGCCCCCCGCCCTCGGGACGCACCTGGATTCCAGTTTTCAGGGAGATCTCACGCAGCAGTGTGATCTTCTGCAGCCCGTATGTCTCCACAGCCTGGTCCACGGTCTCACTGTGAGGGCAGCGGGGTGAGCAGCACCCCTAGCCCTGCAGGTCCCTCCTCCTTCCCAAAGCACAGGGTCCTCCTGCCCACCCGTGCCTGCCACTCACGCACCACTCGAGGCTGAAGTCAAAGTAGTTCTTGGCTTCCTGGCAGATGTTCTTCCAGAGCGCCTGCGGGGTCATGACGGCCCAGGCCGTGTTGTCTGCAGCGCCCAGGGGCCGGTTTTTCCTCCGCTTGTTCCTCTTTTTGGAGACTAGTTCGTCAGCCGGCAGGTGCGCCACAGGGTTGGGGTAGGAGCTCAGGAAACAGTTCAGGAAGTGGCTGATGGCAGCTGAAAGGCCTGAGAGCTCCACACCCTGCCAGGAGGATGTGCAGCCAAGTCAGAGAGGTCAGTGAGCCCCACCCCAGGGCCCCTCCTGGCCCAGGGCAGCCTACCTGCAAGTACGTCTTGAAGATATGCTTGGCAGATCGGGTGATGAGCTCTCCGATGCCGATTTTCTGGGAGGCGTGAAAGAGGGCAAGTCCCGGTCAGGCCCTGCCTCCATCCCCAATAACCCACCCTGCCCAGCCCACGAACCCCACTCACAAAGATGTGGTCCAGCTGCTCACGGGCTGGGCTCCGCAGCACCAGGTCCAGCACCTTGCCCAGGTAGCGCATGTTGATGCCACGCTGGCGCATCACCTCAGCCAGTGTGGCCCCATCCATGGGCAGCACCGCATGCTCCGCACAGTCCTTCACCTGCGGGCTGCAGCGGGTCAGGCCCCAGCCCTCCCTGATCCTCCCAGGGGAAGGAAGGGACTAAGCCCCCAGGCCCCAGTGAGGAAACGGCAAGGAGCAGGCTGCTGTGAGGATGGCAGGCCATGCACACAAGCTCCTCTAGCCCCTGGCTGGCTGGCCTGCTCTCCCAGCACAGCAGGACATGTGCCTTGCCCTCCCTCCAGCTCTCAGTCCCTGCCCCATCAGGAAAGGAGAGGCCTCTGCCCTGCCCAAGTTCCCCCAAGTGTCGTCAGCAGTAGATGGGCAGCAGAGCCCATCACGGTCCCTGCCAGCCCCTGCAGGCCGCCCTCACCAAGCCAGGGATCTGGCAGGACAGCAGGAAGGCAGCTGCATCCTTCAGCAGCTGCTTCTGGTCCCGGACTTCATCCTGGCAGGAGTCAGGAAAGCGCACACCTGGGGGTTGAGGAAAGCGGCTGGAACCAGGCAGGGACGCGATGCTCTGAGGGGTGTACAGGCCTACCGCCTCCTCCCGTGTCCAGGTGCACACACACACACACACACACACACACACACACACACACACGAATGCACAATGTGCTGTTCCCACCCTCAAGGGCTCTGCTGAGGCCCACACAGCTTGCCTGGAGAGAAGATGTCTGGGTTGAAGCGGATATCGAAGGCCGTGCTGCTGATGGAGCCGACAGCCTTACACGCATTGCGGATCACCTCCCGACTCCGAGGGTCTGCTGTGGAAACACGGCGCCATGGGAAGTGGCCCCACGCCACCCTCGAAGAGGAGGGAAGGTTGGGCTGCCCTGACTTCATCTCCTCCCAACCAGGGAGGCCACCAGGGCAGGCCACTCCGAGTAGCATACAAAGTAGGCGCACCTGTGCCATCGTCGGACGCAATGGTCTCTGCCAGCTCCTTCACCTTGGCCAGGCCGCTTGCATTGTTGCCCTCCTCTTCACTTCCTGCCTCAGGCCCCGGACAGTCTTCAGGTGTAGCATCTGAGGACAGAGGCCCACCATTCTCCAGCGTGGCAGGGCCCTCGGCCTTGCCAGCCTTCTGCTGCATCAGCTGCAGGGCAGCCAACTTCATGAAGAGGAGGTACCTGGCACAGAAGGGGGGAAGACAATTCAGCTGGCCCAGCAGCTTCTTCCCAGCCACGGACACCTAGCCAGTCCTAAGCTGCCCTGCAGGCACGCATCAGCACACAGGTACAGGCGAGCCAGTAGCAGGGGGCAGCCAGCCCCAAGCCCTCCCCAGACAATTAGAAGGCAGCTAGCTGGCGGGCAGACAGGGGTGGGAGGAGGGAGAAGGGCTCACTGCCCAGGCCATGGCTCTGCACAGGAGTAGGAATGGCACTGGCATTTTGCAAAAAGAATCATTTATAGCATGGGATATTCAGTACGGCTGACTTCTAAGCAGTGAGCACCAGCAGTGCCAACACCCAGTGCCTGCCTCCTGGCTTAGGGACAGCTATGCCACCATAGCTGATGCCAGAGGCTCCTTAAAGGAAGAGTGTAACTCTGGCTCAACGTCCAGTCTAGGGTCTCTCTGAGCTGCAATAATCAAGCCTTGGTGTCTGCGTTTCAGAGCCTGACTCTCCAGTGAGTGAGGATGGGAGCCTTTTCCCACATTGTAGACTTTGAAGGGTGAAGATCTGGCTACGGGAGTGCCCCTGGCAGCCACACCCCTCACCTGTGCTCCACGAAGGCATCCACCAATTCCTGGCGCAGACAGCAGAGCTTGTGCCGGTGGGCGCGGGGGAAGCCGGCACGGACACACTCCTCAGGCAGCTCCTCACCAGGCACGGGCAGAAAGTTGAGGTCAGGCGGGAAGGTGCGCAGCAGGTCGAGGATGTAGTGGCGGCCATCGTTGCCAATGATGCCCTTGCACTCGACCGAGGAGCACAGCTCCACCTCCTCATCGCGGTCGTTGAGCACACGGTGCCGCAGGAGCTTGAGGGGCCGGCTGGTGCGCTCCAGCAGCTCCAGGTACCGCGGGTGCGACACCACCGTCTTGCCAAAGTCAATGGAGCCATAGATGACGCTCTGCTCCTGGTCTCGCTCCAGGATGCCGGGAATGATGGACTGCGCCGTGACTCGGTAGCCTCGGTAATCCACCACCACCGTGCCCAGCGTGTAGAGTCCCTCCACGTCCACCGCATTGTAGGTGCGCACACCATTCAGGTCATTGGTGGGGGCCACATATGCTGCCACATCCCCACCAAAGTCCTTGTAGTGGTCACGGACATCGAAGCCCAGGCTGAAGAAGATGTTGTTCCAGATGAACATCTGCATCTTGGTCTCCTCGCTGGGGTTGATGGCCATCACATTGCCATCAATGACAGCCACAGCGCCTCGTGTGGCTGCCGCAGTGAAGTCACTGTGCACCTGCCAGGCCCAAGGATGGAGTGTGAGGGAGCGTCGTCCATGGCAGCCCCTGCTAGGCCCTGCCTTGGCCACCCTCTCCCAGACAGCAGAGGCTACTAGGCAGCTGGACAACCTTAGTCTCCACTCTACCATGTTTAGCAAAGGGCAAGGAAACCACTATCTGAAGGGCAGGCACACACTCAGGGAGAAAGCACCAGGTGAGTCACAGGAGGGGGAGGACTGGAGCAGGTGTGGGGGATCAACTAGGTACGTGCCAGGGAAACCTGGACAGGAGCCTTGACCTTTACCAGGTGTCCTCAAGCCTACACCGAACCCGGCATAGCCTCTGGCAAAGTTAGTACCCAAGAAATTCAGCTCTTGCTTTGACTATCACCATCTCCAGGCAGCAGGATTACAGGATTCTGACAAAGAACTAGATTTTCCTCATTTCCTTTTCTAGCCACAGTACTGATAATTTTAAAACCAAGCTAACTGCCAGCACAATGAGGGTCAGGGCAGGCAGCATGTGCCCAAGGGAGGGCTCCATGCAATCAGCAGAGAGCAGAGCTGGCTGGACTGCAGCCCTCGGCCCTGGGGGAGGCAGGTCCCTCTTCTCCCCTAGCCCTGGAGAATAAGCCAACGGCGGGAGTGAGCGAGGTCCAGGCACCTTGAAGATGGCTCTCTCTCGGAGCAGCCGCTCAGGCAGGTTCTTGCGGGGAAGCTCCCTTGTTGTCTGCAGCTCCTCATTCCAGTCCCGCGTCTGTGGACCGCCAGGGAGATGCTGGCTCAGTGTGCGCCTTCCCACGTTCCCTGAACAGACCCTCCTCTCACCTTCCCATGCAGACAGCCCCCAGACCCCTCAGGGAACAGACAGTAGGTACAGCCTGCAGGGAGGAGCCGAGCCCGGTGGGGTGGGGTGACAGGAGGGCGGCCCCGGCTGCAAGCACCTGTCCAGGGATGTGCTCCTCGTAGCCCAGCCTGGAAGTGTAGGCATCTTCAGCGCGCACACAGTCCATGGCGTGCTCAGCCTGGGGGGCAGTCCAGCTGTACACCTGGAACGGGGTGGCGATCCTCTCGAACGGGTGGCGCTGGACCCTGTGGCAGGCAGGGGACGGGGAGATGGGCAGCCCACCAAATTCAGAGCCTGCCACGGGCCTCTTCTCAGAGGCTCCCACCCGCTCCCGCATCTCTTTGTCTGGAAGAGTCAGATGGAAACCAGTGGGGACCTGCCCCAGAGCTGCTTGTCCCTGGCACTGGGGCCAGGGGCACCCGAGTTCACGCTGCTGGCTTGCTCACACTAACCACCCCCCACACCCCGGAGGCGTGAGCCGAGGCGCAGTGGCTGGCACAGAAGCTACCTTTTCTTCTGCAGCACCGCGAAGTTCTTCTTGAAGGTCGGGCTGATCTGGTTGAGCAGTTCCACCAGGGAGTGGCTCAGGAAGCGGGGGCTGGCGGGCTTGGGGTTGAAGTGATAGGCTGTGGACCTGCAGGGAGAGGGTGGCGCTGGGAGCACAGGTAGCAAGCTGCAGGGCCCCCGCCGGGCTCCACTGGGGCCGCCAGGCACTCACTGGTTCAGGTAGAAGCCCCGTGTGGATGCCGTGATGCTGACTTGCCGGTCCTCAGCTGTGATCACAAACAGGTACATGAGGTCCCCGTGCATCTTGCGGTTCCCAGGGGGTGGGTTCCAGCCGCTCATGGTGAGCACCTTCAGGCACTGCAAGGGCTGCAGGGTGGCCAGGCATGACTGGGCCTGACCTCCTAGCAGGGCACCTCCTCACCCCACCAGGGACACTCTTCTCTATCCCCCCGGGAGCCCCACCTTCCAGTCACGGTTCTGGGGCTGCAGGGGACACAGTGGCCGCTCCCGGCTACCCGGCAGGATGTACTCGGGCGGCGTGCAGTCAATGGGGTCCATCTCCAAGCCCTTCTTCCGCTTCCCGCTGTCTGAGGGACCCAAGGCCAGTGGTCAGCCCAGGGCCAACCATCTCCCTCCCACAATGTGGCTTCCAGGCAGAAGGTACCCCCTCGGTCCCCAGCCTCCCTGTCCTCCAGCCCACCCCAGGCTCCAACGCCGCCCACACCTCCCAGGTCACCATCCGTGAAGACACTCAGGAAAGACAAGGAGTTGCAGTCAACTCCGTTGAAGGCATCAGCTGGGTCCAGGCTCTTGAGCAGGTCTCGGACGTGACGCACATGGATGCGGGCCTCCCGCACTGTGTATGGCTCTGGCGGAGGAGGAGCAGGCATGTTAGCGGGGCTGGGTCTTTCCCTCCCCTCCACAACAGCCCATCTGGCACAGACAGCAGTGGGCGGGTGGGGTGGCAGGTGCGCTGTGGGTGGTTTGAGTTTTTGGCTGAGGCGTCCATGTTTAAGTTTCACTCTGAACACACAAGCAGGTGCTCTGGTTTACACACAGGCACACATCCTCTGGCTGCTGGCGGGCAGAGAATCCTGTTCTCAAAGAACCTTCTGCAGCACAACTTGTGAGGACACACAGGCCTTGGAGGGGAGGCCACATGCAACGCTGTCCCACCTCGTATGAGCAGGCCCTTTGGGAACCCTCATGCAGGGATGGCCGAGGGCTGCCCCAAGTCACCCCCAGCTTCAACACCAATATCCAATGGTTGTTTCACGGGGCTCTAGGTGGGGGAAGCTGAACAGCTTCTCTCCAAGGGAACCGCAACACCCAGGATGCTGGGTTTCACAACCACAGCAGGCTCCACCCACCGACAGCTCTGCAGCAAGCCGGACCCCACTCTGTAAAGAGCTGAGCCTTCACTCAACTGCACTGGGGCCAGTTTCTAGCCCTGCCTGATTTTGCTCTAAATCAAAACTGGCCATGCCCTGAGGGTGCAAGGTATGCTGTCTTGGGCAGTGGACCTGTGCTCCAGGCCCAACTCTACCCACTCATCTGTACCAATGTTGCCAGTTGTACGCAGTGGCATGCTACCCAGCCCTCCCCTGACTGACAGCCCCCTTCCAAGCCAACCTTCCACCACACGGAGCACTGAGCCCTCCTGCAGGCCCTCTATGCTGCGGAGCTCTGAGAAGTGGTCCAACATGTTGCCATCCAGGTGCAGGGAGAAGCACGTGCGGTGACACGTGTCCTCACGGTCCATGAGCACTTGGTGGATCTCCTGCACCATCTCCTGGGGTGATACCTGCCGAGAGAAAGTGTAGGCCATCCTGCTGAGCGACCACAAGGAACCAGGACACAACACCTACACCAGCCTGAAGACCGTGAACTCCAACAGCACCCAATACTCATTCTCCAAGCTCACTTTTCAACTCCCACCCCTGTCTAGGCAAAGCAATGGCCCTCTGAGGTTGTGTGTGTGCAGGACACAGCCTGGCCACACCGGGCAGCCCTCAACCAGTTCCCGAGGCTGGCGCAGTGATGCAGAGGACTAAGCCCCACAAGAGCACCAGCTGCAGACCCTCTAACTGCTCTACTTCCAATCCAGCTTCCTGCTAACATGTCTGGGAAAGAAGCACAGCATGGCTCAAGTGCTTGAGTCCCTGAACCCAGGTGGGAAACCTGAAGTAGCTCCTAGTTCCTGGATTGGGCCTGGCCCAGACCTGGCTGTGGCAGCCATTTAGGGAGTGAACAAGCTCTTTCCCTCCAACTCTTTCAAATGCCCTGGGAGATCACTCAGCACAACCCAGCCTTCTGGCAGACAGTAAAATCATGGCTTGGAGAGATGACCTGAGAACCCAGAACAAGATGCTGGGAAACCTGGGGCCCCAACACTCCCCTCTCACTATCTCACCACTTCCTAAACAGGGCTGCAGACCCAGCTGGCACTTGTCCCCTCACAAGGAGGCAATGACCTTGAATTTGGACTTGATGCCCATGTTCACCACACTAGCTGACTGATCCAATGCAAAGTCCAATAAAAAAGCCTCAAGCCTGAGTCCCCTGTGACCCTTCCTCCATCTAACCTGTAGGGAGAAGGGCTCGATCCCAGGGGCCAGGATCTTCACAGAAAAGCCTGTGTCCTGAATGACGATGACTTCCTGTCCAGTGGTCTCATCCCCCGCCTCAGCCTCATCTAGCCCGTTTTCCCGCGGCGGCTCAGCCACCCCCTCCTCCTTCTTCAGGCTCTCTGGGCAGTCTCCATTCAGCAGCATGACGGATGGCGGCTCTGCAGAGGACAGGAGAGGAGTGAGTCAGAGGGGCCTATGTGTCTCTGGAGCCTGGGGGCATACAGCCTATGGGAGAGGGGCTGCCCCAGTCTGTGTATCTCTGCAGGCTAGCACCTCCACCCATCCCCAAACTTCTGCTCCTGAACCTTCCAGTCCAGCTTTTCACCTTGGGGTGCCGCTCAAGGCCAAGCCCCGGGGGTCCTCTCAGGTATAACTGGCACACCAGGGGCGCCCTTCCTCCTCCACCTCTGCCGTGGCTGGCATGCTACTCCTGCCCCGCCCTCTCCAGCTCCAGCTTACTCCCCGGTCCTGAGCTGTAGCTGCTGAGGCCCCAGCCTCACCCTCTCCCAAGTCTTACACACCCTCCTGCCTCACACCTCACAGGGCTGTTCATTTAAAGGGGCCAAGGACCTTCCAGGCACCAGCAGGTGGCTGTCCCTGGGGAAAGGCTCACCCTGTCAGGATGGAATCCCCTGCTTCGTCTAGTCCCCAAGCCAGTAACTCCATCTCATGTTCTACTGGAACCAAGTGTTGGCCTCTGCAGTCCCAACCCAGGCCCAAATACCCCTCCTGTTTTAGGGGTACACCTGCAGCAGTCTCTGCAATTGCTGCACTGCTCCCAAGACAGTTTCTGCTGGTACCTCTGCCGCCCTGGCCCTTCCCAATGCATGTACCGCAGTGTATGGGCAGGAGGCCACACCGTCTACTTTTCCCCGGGCAATGAGGAAGGGGGAGCCTAGGACAACTATCAGCCTTTCAAAAAGTGGATAAATCAATCTATAAGAAGGAAAAGGCCGGGCCCGGTAGTGTGGCCTAGTGGCTAACGTCCTCGCCTTGAACATACCAGGATCCCATATGGGTGCCGGTTCTAATCCCGGCAGCCCCACTTCCCATCCAGCTCCCTGCTTGTGGCCTGGGAAAGCAGTCAAGGACGGCCCAAAGCTTTGGGACCCTGCACCCTTGTGAGATACCCGGAAGAAGTTCCTGGCTCCTGGCTTCGGACTGGCATAGCATCGGCCGTTGCGGTCACTTGAGGAGTGAATCATGGGATGGAAGATCTTCTTCTCTGTCTCTCCTCCATTCTGTATATCTGACTTTCCAATAAACAAATAAATCTTAGAAAAAAAAAAAAAAGGAAAAGGCCAAGCTATAACAATCTGCCTGGAAGCCCACTTGACCAATGGGAATGTTGGCCACCAAAAAGCCTGCTGGTTAAACCAGAGTAAGCCCCTGGGCTTAGCACTTGGGCATCCCAGGTGTGAGCAAGTTGTTTGCGGACAGCAGCCCTGCTCTGCATCTTAGCCCTTCCAGGCACTGGCTGCCAGCAGTGGGCAGGCAGGGCCTCTCCCCAGGCCTCTGTGGGCCCTGCTCTGAATCCCCCAACACAGAGCAGGGACCTCAGGCATACAGGAGCCTAGAGAAGTCACCCACTTCCTTGTGGCCCTCAACTAAGACCACCAGCAGCTCTCCTAAGCTCCCTCCTTTCCTTCCCCAAACCTGGATGAACCAACCACCCAAGAACCAAAAGAATGCACCCAGCAGCCCCCCACTCCAAAGGCAGACAGGTGTAGGGGGCAGTGGGGTTGGTTAGCTTGCCGCAGCAGGGCTCTAGGGAAGGCTGGGCTGGTGGGCAGCCCCAGGAGAGGCTGCACCTAGTTCTGAGCTCCAAGACCCCAACAGTGGCCAGACAGAGGCCTGGATCCAGACAGGCAGCAGAGCAGCACAACACAAACCCAGGTAGCCCTGGCTCCTACCCTTCCCCAGCCCAGGCAGCCCACTGCCACCCACTCCAAACTGGGACAGCCAGGCTTGTCCCTTCCCTTCCTCCAAGGGACCCTGAGGTCTCCCTATTGCTGTATTATGGCAGAGTAGCCTTCAGCAGGAAGCCAGTTGGCTGGCATTGCCCCATAGCCCACCTGGTACAGGCGACAGCCTTCTCCTCGGCTCTGAGGTTGCAGGACTGCCATGGCAGCAAGGTGACCAGCACTCCGGCTCTGGCCTGGCCCAGTCTGTGGTCCCAGCCCCTGCCTCCGCTGCCACCCTTGCCCTACCACAGCTGGTCGGCCCAGGCCTGGAGCTCCGGCTGGCTTCGGGTTTCAGCGGGGCCAGGCCTGCTGGGGAGGCCTGGGGAAGGGCACATTCCCCCTGCCTCTGCTTCGGATCCTGCTCAAGGTCGGCCAGAAGGACGGCTGCGGGCCAGGCCGCGGTGGCTCCAGGACCCCAAGGGGAACTGTTCTCAGGGCTCAGGCCCTGGTCCCCACATGCCCCAGAAAGGGGGCCATTGCTGGTTGGGCTGTTAAGGGAACAGGAGAACCCCGAGTATGGACTCCCTGGACCCCTGAGGATTGAGGGACCAGAGGGCTGATCATGAGAGACAGGGCCCAGCAAGGGGTTCCTCTCTTCAGCTGCAACCCCAGTGCGGGTGAGCAAGACTGCTTCTGCCAGCTGCTGGCAACAGCTGGCACAGACCCGGGCCCACGCCATGAGGTGGCCGTCCCTGCCCACCCGTCACAGACACTAGTGCCTGGCCTGCCAGCCAGGGACTCTGGCTCCCGCTGCCCCCTGCAGGTGACCTGGCAGCTAGCCCCTCCCGGAGCCACTGGTTCTGAGGGGGAGGGGCGCCCACTCTCCCAGAGGACAACTGCACCGGTGCCCTGAGCCTCCACGCTGCCCTGAGTAGCTGGCAGGCACTGTTGTCTCTTCCCAGCAGCCCCTGCGTGGTCAGGAGCAAACCAAGCGTCTCCCTCAGGGAAAACAGAGCTGGCAGTGGCAGGCCGAAGGCCGCTGGGCTATAGGGAAGAAGCATGCCCAGCCTCGCCAGGGCGCCTTCCCAGGCCTCTGACTTGTTGCCAGGGCCCAGCCAGGACTGCTCTGGCATCCGTACTAACCAATGGGGGGTGGGGAGCCAGGCCCCCTCTCGAGGGCCCCTCCCCTCCAGTTTGATGAAGCATTGAACAGACCCTCAGCCTCTCCCCAGCCACTCTGGAAGAGCCAGGCCTTGGCAGAGCTGCCACCCCCACCCTAGACACCCCCAACTCCCTGGAGAGGGTGGGGCCAGGTAGCTTGGCAATGACCTGAGAGCAGCGTGGACAAGCATCGCCCTGCTGGTTACCAGAGAGCCAGGGCTCACTCCGAGCCTGACTCAGATCAACCAACCTGGGGAAACTGAGACTCCCAGAGGGCAGTAAGCAAGCTGCCTAGGGTCACGGAGGCAACAAAACCAGGTGTCAGAAGCCCAAGCTCAGGCCTAAGTGCAAGCCCCCACCCCACCCCAAGCCAGGCAGCAACAGCTTCCTCAGGCCTCTCACCATTAGCCCTGCCTGCCTGTCCTCCCGGGCAGGAGGAGCTGGGTGTCAGGGAAAGGACACGAGGCAGCGTTCCCTGCAGGATGGGTAGGGGATGCCCACACAGTGTTTCACTTAACAGACCCCATGGAAGGGATAAAGCACATCGCAGCCCTGGCCAGGGAGCCTCTGTGGGCCTCCCCAGCCTGGCATGGCCTCAGGAGCTGGTGCCAAGGCCAGGCCACGCCCCAGCAGGTGAGGCTCCAGCAGGAAGGCAGGCCCCGAAAGCCACATCTCTCCATCCCAGAAACCCAAGGCCTCAAGGAACAGGTGGGGAGGCACGAGGGCTGTCTATACTGAAGACGCTAAGAAAGCAGGTACCTTGTGTCTCCTTTTTGGCCCATCCAAATGGTCTGCGGGGTCTGAAGATGGGCCAAAGTTCCCACACCTGCTCTGCCCAGACCCTATCCAGGAAGGTGTTCCTGGGTCCTACTAGGGAGCTCCTGGAAGCACCCCCTAAACTCCACCTCAGTAGGCCACTGCCCCCCTTCTCGTCCTACTCTGGGCCTCAACTCCAGGGCACCCTCCCCTAGCCAGAAGGAACTTGACGTACCACAGTGAACTTGAAAAACCTGCCGGTTCTCTTCACCCCTAAAAGCTGCTTTATTCCCAAGAAGGTAACAGACCCTTGTCTACCGCCCTCCACACAAAACTCTTGGCCTTGCTCACCTCCTCTTTAAAGAGACTGGGGAGCCCCCAGAGCCAAGTCCTGTCAGGTGGGGATGAGAGGGTCTACACCAGCAGACACGGAGCGCTGCAGTCTACGTCCCAGGCCTTTACTCCAGCCTCCTGGAGACATGGGACTAAGAGTGGCTTACGATCTCCCAGCTTCCCTAAGAGGAACAGCTGCGCCCTGCTCCTGACCCAGCGCACCTCACACGGAGGCACCGGGCTGAGAAGGGGCTTCTCCCAAGGCGTTCACAGAGCCCCACCACCAGCTTAGCCTCTCCCTCCTGCCACACGTGATCCAAACCTGCAGGCATGCCCCAGCTTCCTCCAGGGCAGCCTAGGCGTGTCTGGCCGTGAGCTGCAAATCCAAAAGCTTTCCCCCAGCAAAGGGCTGTGTGACCTTGGGCAAGTCCATTCATCTTCATGGGTCTTTCAACCGCAGAGGAAAGCGGCCAGCCCCTCTCTTATCTAGCCTGCTCCACTGATTCACAACCCAGTCAGAATAAAGCCGCGTGGACTGTGCTTATCAGCAATTATGCTGTCCAAGCCTTGACCCATCAGCAAGGTAACTCAGCTGTGGCAGTGAGGGGGTGCTGGGGGCAGGAGGCCCACCCAGCCTGACTCCCATATCAGCCCAGTGCTCTCATCAGAGCCGGGACAGAGACGGTGGTTAAGGTGTCTATGGAGGAGGAAGTGGGAGCATGCAGCTCTTGCACCCTACTGCTGTCCTGGGCACACAGGGCTCTGGGGAAGGGTGGCCTAAGGCAGAGCAAAGGGATAGCAACAAGCCCAGGATCGGCCCAGCCACTCCCCAAAAGCCAGGCCTCAGGTCCCCCAAGGGGGCCAGCCGGGAGCTCCACTCCACTCTGCCGACCTTTGCCTTAAAAACAGCAACTCTCATCTGACCCACTTGTCGCAATAAGGTAGGTTAATAATCAAGTCCTGGCACAAACACCGCCCCCTGCCAAGGAGCCCGCTTCACCCCCGGACACTGGCAGGACCACCCCTCTCCCTTCCCTCCCCTCAGCCCAACAGGTCAACACCTGGAAGGGCAAAGCTCAGAACTTGAAGCCCCTGGAATGAAACCAGGCAAGCCCCTCTCCCTAAAAGCACCTGATGCCCCTCACCTCCCCAAGACCCAGCCTGCAAAACCGCAAGCAGGGCTGAGGCCTGGCCGGCCCAGCCCGGCACAGGGAAACGTCCCGGAGGCCTAATGCAAGAAACGGGACCTGACACAGCAACGCCCGCCAAGTGTCAGAGTGACCCCCTAAGACCAGAAGGCTCCCCTGCCCGTGGGTGGTGCAGGAGGGGTGTGTGTGTGTGTGTGTGTGTGTGTCTTGGGGAGGTGGGGTGGGGGTTGCGGCCGCTCCTATCCGCCTGCCGCGGCGGCGCACCCCGAAGCCGCGTGTGCGCGCACGTGTCCCCAAGACCTGCCGCGGCGTGTGCCCGCACGAACTGCCCTTCCCCGGACCCCACGTGCGAAGCTCGGGCCGCCGCCGGGGGCCACAGTGAAGGTGACCTTCAGGGCGGGGGCGGCCCGGCGGAGGACCCAGCCAGACGTCGCCGGGCCCGGCGACGAGGGAACGCGGGGGTCCCCGGCCGAGTCCCCCCCAAAACCCGCCGGTCCTCGGGTGCAGCCTCCCCTCCACGGCCGCCGCCTCCCCCGGCCTCGGCCCCCCGGCTCACCGGCCGCGCCCGGCCGCCCCTTGCCTCCGGCTGGCAGGCTGTGATCTCGGGCGCTGTCGGCCGGAGCGGCGGCCGGCAGCTCGTCCGTCTTGATGACCATGGCGGCGGGAGCGGGGCGTCCGGCTCGGCTGTCCGCGCCGCCCGCCGCGCCACTAACCCAAGTGCCCTGCGCGCCGCGGCCGCTGCGGGAAGGACGGAGTCACTGGCCCACGTGGTGCGCGCTGTAGCCTTTGACCCCACCGCCGCTCCCCCCACTGCTCCGCCCTCGCGCCCGGCCCGGCCCACGGAGGCTCGCGAGGGACAAAACACGCCGCGCCTCGTCCTCCTCCCCCACCCTCGTCCACCGACGCGGTGACTTTCCCCGAACGCCTTAAAGGCAACGCACGCCGACGCGCCCCGGCGGAGAAAAAAAAACGTGGGCCTCCTCGAGGGGCGGGGCCTCGGCGGCCCGTCGGGCGGGCGCCGTGACCTTGGGTGGAGACTGCTCGAGGGCTCCCGGGCTCAGCTCCCCTCCCCCTCCACCCCAGGGGCCCTCTGCTTCCCATGTTGCCTGTGCCAAGTGGCCGCGAGCGCGCGCGCCCCGACCGGCCGTGGTTAGGTAGCGTGACACCTCGGCGCCCTCTCCACCGAGCCTGCCTTTTCCCGCCCAAGGAGTGGGAGTCGGGTGCTGGATTACTGGGGGTGGGATGGGGGATTGGCCCTCACCAGACCTAGGGAGGAAATGGCCACAGTAGGCCACACCTCCCCTTTTTCATCTTGAGCCGCAAAGGACCCCCTGCCCACTCACATGGGCCACACCCCACCCCGCCGAAGCGAGCTGTCTTCTGCTGGTCGGTGTCCTCGGCTTTGCAATGAAGGATGTAGAGACCAAGGTCACTCTCTCTCTCTCTCTCTCTCTCTCTCTCTCTGTCTCTCTCTCTCTGTCTCTCTCTCTCTCACACACACACACACACACACAGAGCCAGATTCTAGCTGGGTCCGTGGGAACAGCCAGGCTTCCTCACCCTGATGGGTGAGGTGGGAAGTGGCTGCAGAGGTGCGCCTGTCTCGGGACAGGCAGGCTGGGGTTCCCTGCACTCCACCCCGGGAGTCCTGGCTTCTGCCACGGGCTGAGGCCAAAGCCGCAGCTGGCGTATGTATGCATTTGCGCTTGCGCGCAGGTGTGTGTCTGGACTGTTCTCTCCCCCCCCCCCCAGGCCTTGTAGAAACTGCAAAGGACAGTTGGACTTTGTCCTGGAGTGTAGATGGTGAGAAATGGAGTCAGTGAAAGTAGGGAGGCTTTGAAGCAGAAGCAGGGAGGTGAGAGGTGATAAGATTCAGGGCTCAGAGTAATCCCCCAGCTGCTGGGGGTGCAGGGTAGATAAGGGAGGCTGAGCCCCTCCCCCGGGCACACCAGAAAGGCGAGGTAGAACCTGAGCCTGCTGCTGAAGCTGAGTGAAAGTCTCTCTTTCAAGACAGATTTATTTATCTTGACAGAGTACATAGCTTCCATCTACTGGTTTGCTCCCTAATGGCTGTGGGTGTGAACCAGTGAACAAGCAGAGATCTCTTTCTGCCATTCAAATAAATAAGAGAAGACCACACCCGTCTCTCTAGTCCTCCCCATCTGTCAGGAGAAGCAGGGGTGGTCCCCAGTGCACTTGAGAAAAGGTGGGACCACCACCAGCCCACCAGTCACTGTCTTCCAGGTGCAGACTGCAAGCACCCAGGGCTGTGAGATCAGACATAACCTGGGCCCAGCCTCTGCAGGAAGCAACTTCCTGTCCTCTGCTCCATCTAGTGTTTTTTAAGACTTGTTTTTGTTGGAAAGGCAGATATACAAAGAGAAGGAGAGACAGAAAGATTTTTCCATCTGCTGGTTCATTCCCCAAGTTGCCACAATGGCCAGAGCTGAGTCAATTTGAAGCCAGGAGTCTCTTCCAGGTCTCCCACCTAGGCACAGGGTCCCAAGGCTTTGGGCAGTCCTCGACTGCTTTCCCAGGCCACAAGCAGGGAGCAGGGTGGAAAGTGAAGCAGCAGAGATACGAATTGGTGCCCATATGGGATCCTGGGTGTACAAGACGAGGATTTAGCTACTGAGCCATCATTGCACTAGGGCTCTAGGCCTTCGCCCCCCCCCACCCCCATCCTCCTATCTATCCTCCCCCATAACATTTTAAACCTGGCTGTGAGGAGAGTTGGGAGGAGGCAGTTAGGAAAGTCCCCTGGGAAGAGGCTGGTCTGAACTGAATTTCATTGATTGGTTTATTGGTGACAAACATACACAGTGCCCCATCCACTGGCTCACATCCCAAATGCCCACAGCTATAGCTGTGCCTAAGGCCAGGAACCAGGAACTCGAATCTGGATCTCCCACGTGGGAGGAAGCCAATCACGGGAGCCAGGACTCTGCCTCCCAGCATTCATAGGAAGCTGAAGCCAGCAGCCAGAGCTGGGAATTGAACCCATGTACGACACTGTGGGACATGGCCTTCTCAGCTGGGGTCTTAACTGCTGGGCCACATGCCCACCTCTGAACTGAACTTGGAAGGGTAACAAGTTTGCTACTGAATGAGTCAGAGGAGATAGGCAGGCAAGTGTGGACAGACCCACTGCAGAAATTCAGTCACTGCTGTAGGGTTTTTGTAAGATTTATTTATTTTACTGGAAAGGTAAAGTTATGGAAGGAAAGGAGAGTGAGATTTTCCATCTAATTTACTCCTCAAATGGCCACAATAGCCAGAGCTGAGTCTCTCTAAAGCCAAGAGCCTGGAGCTTCTTTTGGGTCCCCCACATGGGTGCAGGTGCCTAAGCACTTGGGCTATCCTCTTGCTGCTTTTCCAGGCACATTAGCCAAGAGCTGGATCAGAAGTAGAGCAGCTAGGACTCAAAGTAGCACCCGATGGGATGCCAGCATCACAAGTAGAGGCTTAACTTGCTACACCACTGGCTCTAGTTTTCCCAATTTTAAATAGATAATGGATTTACATAGTTCAAACTCCAAAAAGTACAAAAGGGCATACAATGAACAGTCTGTCACTGACCTCCAGCCAACCATGAGAATTTACCCGTCCCCTTCACACCGTTCTGGAGACACTTTCTGCACATGCAGTGTGTGTATAAGGGTAATTCCAGAAGACTATGGAAAATGGAATTAAAAAATAAGCTGATTTAAGTGCAAAAAATGAAATCTATGCATAGTTTTTCAACGTCCTCATTTTTATGTATTTTTATTTGAAAGGCAGAGTTACTTGAAAAGAAAGAGGGCCTGGCACAGTGGCCTAGCAACTATAATCCTTGCCTTGATTGTGCCAGGATCCCATATGGCTGCTGGTTCTAATCCTGGTGGCCCCACTTCCCATCCAGTTCCCTGCTTTGTGGCCTGGGAAAGCAGTTGAGGACGGCCCAAAGCCCTGGGACCCTGGACCCACGTGGGAGACCCAGAAGAGGATCCTGACTCATGGCTTTGGATCGGCTCAGCTCCAGCTGTTGTGGCCACTTGGGGAGTGAATCAGCAGACAGAAGATCTTGCTCTCTGTCTCTCCTCCTCTCTGTATACCTAACTTTCCAATAAAAAAAAATTTTAAAAAAGAAAGAAACTAAATAATTATATATAGAGAAGGAAATACACTCCCCAAATAACTGCAACAGCTGGAAGTGGGCTGGTATGAAGTCAGGAGCCAGGAATCTCTTCTGGGTCTCCCACGTGGATGCAGGGGCCCAAGGACTTAAGCCATCCTCCACTATTCTGCCAGGGCATTCATTAGTAGGGAGCTGAATCAGAAAAGGAGCAGCCAGGACATGAACCGGTACCCATATGGAATGCCCACATAAGCCCATAAAAAGCCCAGGTAGAGGCTTATCTTGTTTTGCCACAGCACCAGATCTGTAATATTTCTTTTCTTTCCTTCCTTGCACATTAGCAGGATGCTGCAGCTGAACGTGAGCTGGGGCTTAAACTCAGGTACTTGGATGTGGGCTGCAGGTGCCTCAAAAGGTGTCTTAACCACTAGGACAAAGTGTCAACCCTCCATAGATTGTTAATGACACACAGGTGTGAGTCCACACACACCTGACTTCCTCTTCTGTTTGCACATTTCTCCTGCTGCTCTTCACCCAGATTTTGGTTGACTTACCCAGGTTACCCCCGCTCCTGGTCTTCCCAGAGTCCGAGGCGTGGTCAGTGCTTTCCGCACACTTGTTGCTGAGGTCGGATCTGGGTGGAGGGAGTGCCAAGCTGTCCTTTGACCCCCTACTGTGATTTCTTTTTCATTTCCTCTTTAAGATTTAATTATCGAGTCCAGTACAGTGTCACTTCAGGCTAAGTTGCTGCCTGTGATGTCAACACCCGAGTAAATGGTAGTTTGAGTCTCAGCTGCTTTACTTGCAATGTGTTACTGTGCCTGGGAAAGCAACAGAGGACAGACCAGTCCTTGGGCCCCTACACCCATGTGGGAGATCTGGAAGAAGCTCCTGGCTTCCAGCTCGAATCCTCCCAGCTCTAGCCATTATTTGGGAAGTGAACCAGTGGATGGAAGATCTCACTTCCATCTTCTCACTACAGTTTTAAAAATAATAAAATAGGGCCTGGCATGATGGCCTAGTGGCTAAAGCCTTTGCCTTGAATGCACCAGGATCCCATATGGTTGCTGGTTCTAATCCTGGCAGCTCCACTTCCCATCCAGTTCCCTGCTTGTGGCCTGGGAAAGCAGTCGAGGACGGCCCAAAGCCTTGGGATCCTGCACCTGCGTGGGAGACCTGGAAGAAGTTCCTGGCTCCTGGCTTCGGATCGGCTCAGTGCCGGCCGTCGCGGTCACTTGGGGAGTAAGTTATCGGATGGAAGATCTTGCTCTCTGTCTCTCCTCCTCTCTGTATATCTCTGACTTTGCAATAAAAATAAATAAATCTTTAAAAAATAATAACTAAAAAACGAGATGCTACATATTTTATCTGGGCCGAGACTGGCCAGTCTCATTAGCCTGCTTCAGACTTCCCACCTCCCTAATTGTGTCCTGTGGGATTCACCCACACAACACAGCCTCAGTCATCCCATCTGTGAAATGGTGACATGGAGGGCTTACACAGATGGCCTCTGAGAAGGTCTGTGGATAGCACTTCCCATCTGCACTCCCAGCTATGACCCGGGACCGGCTCAGCCAAGCAACTCCAGGCGTTTTCAAGGGACCCAGCAGTCATGGACAGACACGTATCCAGAGCTGAACCTTCCTTCCTCTAGCTGCCCCAGGACATGAAGGGCCTTGCACATGACGTAGTTCTGGTCCTAGCCCATCCTACACTCAGAATCAGACTCCCAGAGGCTGCCACAAGGGAGTAATGAGTTCAAATCCAAAGACAGGAGGGAAACCACAAATGAACGATGACCACTTATAGACAACCTTGTGGGTGAGGACACCATTGCAAGAGGATAGGAGGAACATGAGGCCCCCGGCCACAGCTGGATGCAGACAGCTGAATTATTAGGAACTGTCTCCACCTATCCAGGGTCTAGTTCTTTTATGTGGCTTCACACTCAGGCAGTCTTATTCCTTGCCAGACTATAAGCTGCAGTGTTACCATTTTACTCACCCAGGAACTGGTCCTTCTCAATCCTGTTTTGCTTCATGGTTGAACCACTAGCACCTAACATGGGTATACGATGCCTGGTTTCAGCCAAAGTTTCAGAGAGAGCACCATGTGTTCACCTTGAATGAACCTTACCTGGCTCACAGCAACAGGGCTGGCTCCCAACCCAAGGACTGAGAGAGGAGGAAGAGAAAGCTCTTGTTACCAAATGGGCGGCAGCAAAACCATTGTGTTCCCTAGATTTTTATGACACACAGTGGCCAGGGCAGGCATCATGGTCCAGCACATTAAACCACCCCTTGCAATGTCAGTTTCCCAATTCAGAACTTGGGTTCAAATCCCAGCTGCTGCACTTCCAGGCCAGCTCCCCGTTAGTGCACTTGGGGAAAGCAGTAGCAGATGCTCTATCTGCCCGCTGAATGTCAACCTGGGACTGTTGCTTTAGCAGCCCAGCACCCACAAGAATCCAGGCCAGTACATTTTTCTTTTCTAAATAAAACTTTACTTTTTTGTTTGTTTTGTTTTGTTTCAAAGCCAAAGAGACAGAGAGATCTTCTATCTACTGACTCATTCGCCAAATGCCTGCAGGAACTGTACCTGGGCCAAGCTGACGCCAGGAGCTGGTAACTCGATCCAGGTCTGGTCTCTTAAGTAGGTGGCAGAGACCCCAGCACTGGAGCCCCTGCTGCCTCCCAGGGTGTGCATTATCAGAACACTGGAATGGGAAGTGGAGTTAAGGAATGAAACCCGAGTATTCTGATACAAGATTTTAGCATCAAATGTAGATACTTAATAGAAATATTTATAATTTTCATTTGAAAAGTAGAAATAGAAAAAAACAACAACAGAAAAGAATCCCCATTTGCTGGTTCACTCCCCCAAATGCCCACAACAGCCAGAGCTGGGCCAGGCTGGTAACTCAATCTGAGTCTCCCACAAGGATGGCAGTGGCCCACATATTTGGCTTCCCAGGGAGCACATTGGCAGAGAGCGAGAGGGGAAGCTGAGCAGACACTTGAACCAGGCTCTGTGACCCATATGGACCACAGGCATCCCAAGAGGGGACTGACCTTGCTGCACCAAGCGCCCACTCACAAGCTAATGTGTTTTAAGTAGATCTGTGCTGCAGCAGCCAGGGAGGAGAGACAACAGCTCTGGGTTCCAAGGCATGGGACAACAGGAACCTGCTGGTTTTAGAATCTGTGTCTTCCTTTTGGGGGTCTCCCTCTACCCATCTCAGTCTGTGTGCTTGGGGACTGATCCCATCCCTGAGCCCCCAGAGGAGGCAGGTCCTGCTGATGGAGTTAGAAATGGACTCGAGGCTCAGTGAGATGCCCAGACCTCTGCTGTAGCTCCTTCCATTCTCCACCCTTAGAGGCACCAAAGTGGGGCAGGGCCAGGGCCCACAGGAAGACACCCGAGGCATGTTTCTGTCGGATATTTTATTAACAATAAGGCATATGACAGTCACCCCTAAAGCACAGGGCCCTATTTCTGTGGGTGAGTGAATACACTCTGAAAAGCATTGGATTAAAAAAGCGCAGCCAACAGGATTTGGAGCAGCATCCCTCTGCCCTGCCCGCCCTCCACCCAAGGCTGGCAATGTCACGGGGAGGGGCCTGGAGCCCAAGTCCCCATAGGACAGGTACAGCTCCATACTCTTGAACTTCCTTCTGTTTTCCCAGGGAAGATCCCATCCTGGTGCTTGTCTGGGAGGGGACTGTCTCATCCCTGGACCTGACCCTCCAACTCCAGGTCACAACAGATGAGATGGGCAAGGGGCAGGGGCACAGAGCTTCACTCTGCAGGGTCACTGCCCTCCACCCCACTGGCTGCAGCTGGTGTCCCCCTCCTCTGCTTTTTTTGCCTAGGTTTGACTGTGCTTTGGGATGCGGTAGAAGCCTTCCCTAGGGACCCTGAGTCTCCCATCAGCTTCGTCCTCCTGCAGCAGACAGGGCAAAAAGAAGCAATTCCTTCCCATCTTGGTCCCCACCCACTCCAGGGGCAGGGCTGGAAGGCTTTCCTTTGGCCAGGTGAGGGTCCTTAAGACAAGTCCAGGGGGCTGGAGAGGGGGCTCTGGAAGCTGAGGCCAAGGACAGACCACCAATGCAGCTCAAGTTCCATTCTGTCAGAAGGAGGGTTCTGGTCTCCATTAGGGGAAAGCAGGTATAGACATTGCAATTTTGTGATTTATTTTTTTTAATAACGAAAGGGAAAGTCCTGTTACTATTTCAACCTACATCTGCCCCACCCCCCTACTTGCTGGTGGAGGGGGGGTTGGCCTACTTCCTTTCTCAGGCACCTCAACACCTCAGCTGCCAGTCAGTGAGTCAGCCACCCCAACACTCAGAACCTTTCATCTGGGGGATCTTTAAGCAACCCACAATTACTAGTCATGATCTCTGCATGTTGGAAGAGGGAGTTGGGAAAGGTTGAGGGATTCACCTGGCAAGAGGCAGGCAGGCCCCGCAGAAGATCACGAGGTGAGGGCCGGCATGCGATGGGGATGGAGGGGGCCTGAGCTGGACACCCTGGGCATCCACGAGGGGGCGTGGAGAGGAGGGCTATTGCTGTAGATCTGGGCAGGGGCGGGGAGGGAAGCTATGGCTTTTAGTGGGGCATGGGGTGGAAAATTAAGGACTTTCCCATCTGTGCACAATATCCACATTACAAAGTCACCCTGTTTTTACCCCAGAAGCGTGGCTGTAGGAGACGGGGGGCAGGGTCTAGGGGAGCTCCACCAGAGTGGCTTCCTCCCTCCCACCCACAGCCCTGCAGGCACCTTTAAGGGAGGAGTCAGGCCATCCAGCCACACAGACAGGTTCTAGACGCTGACAGAATCCGGGTACACTAATTTCTGCACACACAGGCAGGGGGTGGAGCAGGCAGAGCAAGGACCTAGGTTACCTCCAGTCCAGGTGCAATCAGCAAGCATTGTCTGTCTCAGGGGTGCCCCCCACCCCAAAGCTACCACGGAAATCCCTCGAACTAGACCACCCTGAGTGGGAGGCCCACTGGGAGGGGGCTGCATGTTGGCTTCAGAGGCGGGCTCGCTGGCTTCCCCCTTTCGCCAATGTCAGGGTTGGGGATGGGCCTCCTGCTCATTCCAGGGTGATGGAGAGGGGTGTCCTGTTCCTAGGGATGAACTGCTCACCTCCTGGAACCCTGGGTGACCCACAGGGTGTGTGGCCTCCACGAGGGTCAGGACCCACAGTGTCTGAGTGAGGGACAGGCCTGCCCCTGCGCCTAGAAGACCTCATAGGCACTTAGGACTCGATGCAAGACCAACACAAGGGGCGGGGGGCGGGGGGGAAGTGAGGTGCCTTTGGTGGTGGAGATGAGGAGTGAGTGGGTGAGTGGGGAGGTGAGTCAAGAGAGGACATTCTGCTTTCCACCTCCCCACTCCTTAACTTGCACAGAGGGGCCTAGAGGTCAGGGGCTCCCTGGAAGAGCTGCCATGGGACTAAAGTGCCTGCCACTTCCCTCTCCAGCAACCGCCCCCACCACAGTGGCCAGTAAGCCAGGCCCTGGGCAAAACTGGCACGTGTAACTCAGTGCAGGTGAACCAGGCTTCTGCCAGGTTACAGGCTTGAGTAACAGTTGCCCTGCTCCCAGTCTGCTCCAAGCCAAACCCGAGGCAGTGACAAGCACAAGCCTAGTGTCTGTAGGTGCCACCCCCACCTCTGGGGCCTCCGGAAAACTGTGCCTGCTAAAGTGTTCCATGCTCACCTGCTACTGGTGTATGGACCCACCGGGCAGGGGTTGGGGCAGTGGCTTCAGGGTTAAAAGATCAGCCCCGTCGGATGGGAGGAAGAAGGCTGGGCAGGAAGGGTGGCCACGGGTGCCAAAAGCCGCACTTTGTCCCAGGCCAGTCTTCCCTTCCGGGCTAAGGATTGTCGGCTCTCCCCGCGGCCGGATGCATCCCCCTTCCCTCCTAGGGGCAAGATGCAGACCGGAGCAGGCTCCCAGTCTAGCTCTGCAGTCCTCGCTGCCAACGAGGTGCGATCGCCCAGGCCCGCGGGGGAGCCCCTTCGCGGGAGGGCACAGCTTGAAGCTTCGGCCGCGTCCGGGATTACAAAAAAAGACAGGGGCTGCTGGAAGGGGCGGGGAGCTGGGGTCGCTGAGACCCCTTCCCCAGTGGAAGGATGGCTGTCTTCAGCCCCGGGACCTGACTGCTGGGCAGGCCCTCTCCACCCTACTGTCCCCCAGCCGCACGCCTACTCCGGGTCCCCGGGTGCACTGGGCGGGCCGGGCGCGGCGGGTGGGCTCCGGCAGGGCCCCGGCTGCGGGCCTGCTTGGTCCGAGGGCTCCCGGGGAGGCGGCTGGCGCGGGCTGCGTCCGCTGGGCCGCAGGGGTCTCCGGGCGTAGAGGAAGACCGCGGGGTCGGGCATGGGCTCGGCGTCGTCCAGGGCACCGGCCTCGCGGTCCCAGGTGGCCCAGTCCCGGCTGGGGCCCTTGGCGACGGCGGCGTCGGTGGGCGGGCGACGGGCTCGCTGTGCGCGCCTGCGGGGTCGGGGCTCGGCGGCCGCGGCGGAGGCTGCGCTGACGGCGGTGGGGCCCGCGCGCGGAGCCTGCAGTCTCTGGCGCGCTGCGTGCAGCTGGCAGGAGAGGTAGGCGGCCGCCTCGGTGTGCTTCTGCAGCTCGGTGCCCAGCACGGTGGCGCGGTGGCTGCGGCGCCGCAGCTCCTCTAGGAAGCGGCGCTCCTCGGCGCGCAGGCTGCAGCGCAGTGCCGACACCAGGGCCTCGCGCTGGGCCACCTCCCTCCGCAGCTCGGCGTTGGCTGCTGCCCGCGCCGCCAGCTGCGACTCCAGGGCCCGGCATTTGCTCTCCAGCTCCCGGGACGCCTCCTCTGCCAAGAGGACGTGGAGGCAAGAGGTGAACATTCACTCGCTCGCCCCCCCCCCCCCGGCCCCATTACACATCCCGCCGCATTCTCCAATAGTCCCCAGGTAGTCCAGGAGCCTGTCTTAACCCCTGCTTTTGTTCTGTCCTTTCGTTCCTCAGCTCATACTGTAGTGCAAGGTGCTGGGGATACGGTGGGTGACATGAAGCAGGATGGGCATCTTAACCCTAATAGCTACGGTGACAGGAAGAACGAGATCAATGCTGTAACGGTAACTGGAGAATATGACCTACTCAGGGAAGGTTCTCCTGCAGAAAAGATGCTTGGACTAGCATCTGAAGGGCGGATGGGACTTCAGTGGCGAGTGTGTGTGCAGACGAATGCTCCAGAGGGACCAGCTTGAGCAGAAGTTCCCTGGTAGGACGAGCTGGGTCGGCACACAGCGGGGGGAGGAGCTGGCCTCAAGATTGTCTTTCTAAAGTGCTATCTTTCTTCTATGTCTACTTGTCTACCCTTTGCCTTTGCCACTGGGGTGGGCTTCAACCCTGAAATCACACTGAGACCATCCAGAGAGCTTGAAAACAACAGCATTTCCTGGACCCTGCCAAAGACCACTTGGATCAGAACTGCTGGGGAAATGGTCCAAACTACACCCCCACGCCCCCTCCACCCCAGGGAATGTGCTGGAGCTGAGGACACTAACTCTTAGGTCCCAAGCCCCGACTCTGCAGGAGCGCAGCTGGGACCTGGCACAACAGAGTGAGCGTGGCCCAGAGGTGGCTCCGCGAGGCACCTGGAAACCGCCAAGTCTTTTTCTGCTTGTGCAAGATTTTTGCTGTGTCTCCTTCCTGTCTGCCTCCGGCCAGAGGAGAAGCAGTACTGGGGGGCTGGGCTGGGGAGGCTTCCTGCTGACCCCTCCTTCCTCTTGGCTCACCCCCATGATCTGTCCATTCCTGGTGCTAAGGCCGGCCCTGGTTTGTGGGAAACAGGGGGCAGCATGGGTGCGGCCTGACTAGGCCAGGGGACAGATCAACCCTTTAATTTCCCCCAGAGGCCTCCAGCTGATGTTCAAAGGGGGATCGAGCCCCCTTTCTCTCCCCCACTGTCCCTCTTTGGATTTAATTTGTTTTCTCCCCAGAGTCCAACAGTGCCTCAGCTCCGGAGACCTCCTTTAATACACATTCAATTAAAAAGTGAGGCATAAGGAAGAAAATCACCAAATGACAGGAAGACAAAGAAGATCCTCCCTCTCTTAAAGTCTTTCATTTATTTAAAACAGAGAGAGTGAAAGCGAGAGCGAGAAAGAGATTCACTCTCCTAATGTCCACAATAGCCAGGGCCGGGCCAGCCTGAAACCAGGAGCCCAGGACTCAGTGCCAACCTCCTACGTGGAAGGCATGGACCCGAGGACTTGAATCATTACCTGCTACCTCCCAGGATCCTCATTAGAAGGACATTGCACGGGAAATGGAGTTGGAACTTGAAACTGGACACTTAGATATAGGATGCTGGTATCTCAAGCTCTGGTTTCAGAGAAACCTGAATCCCATCGAGAGAAGATAAAAAGATGTCAAAACCGCAGCTGGAGCCCTTGGAGAAGGCGGCAACAGGTGCCAGCTGCTGCATTCACAGGACTGTCTTCATCCAATGTCTCAGATACTTGTCCGCTTTCTCCAGGTACCAAGAGCCTGTCCCCTTGCCACCCATCTCAAGAAACAGGCAGAATCAGTTCAAGTTTCCACACTGACCATTCTGCCTGAACACACCAATCCATTTGCAGCACTTCTGATATTTGTAGCTTGGAATCCCCAATTACCGGTGACAGAGCCTGTGGCCTTCAAGCAAGACAACACTAGAGTGGGGAGGCTGGGGAGCTCTCTGTTTTTCCATTAAGCAGCTCCTGACTCAGGCAGTGTGGCCCCTACTTCTGAGCTCAGAGACCCTAGGTACTGGCAATTCTCTTCCCAGCAGCGGCTGCTCAGCCACCTGCAGATGGAAGGGCTCCTATCCGAGGTCCTGGGTTTGAGTCCAGGCACTTTTTCTTTCCCGCTTCCTGTGAATGCACACCCTGGGAGACAGCAGGCGAAGGCTCCAGTCCTTGGGCCTCCGCCACCTGCACGGCAAACCTGGCTGGAATTCTGGGCTCCTGGCTGCAGCCTAGCCCTGGCCGTTATAGGCAGTTGGGGAAGTGAACCTGTGGATGTGAGATCTTTGGCTAAATGCCCGACTCTCTCTGACTTTCAAATACGATGCAAATATATAAATAAAAATAAAAGACCGCAGGGGTGTAATTGCTGCCCTCCCCCACACCTCATTTAAAAGTTCATGGTGGTAAAATACATATCAAAGACAATGTACAACTTGATTATTTTAATATTTCCATAGTGTTAGGTGTGTCAGACCTCTAGCACTCTTTCACCTTGCAAAACTGAAACCAGCCTTAGTGAACATCTAGGGCTCCCCACCCATCACCCTATTATGGAAGACATAATACTCTGTAAACATATGACAACTGCTAAATGGCAAGGAGTGTGCTCCTTCGGCAAAATGAAAACTTTGTTAATTGCATATATTCCTCTTGATCTAGACCAAGGAAGTCCCTTGGGGTCAAGGGCTCCCTAGTCCCCACCTCCACTCAAGTTGGGGTGGACTTGTAGGACCTGAGAGATGGGTCGGGGAAGGGACGGACACAGGCATCTCCTCTCCGCTCTCCCACTCCAGTGAGGAGTCAGACATGGGCACTAGGCTGTGGGGATGGCACGGGCTGTTCACTGCCCAAGGTCACCCAGGTGAATGGGCAGGGGGAAGCCATCCTGCACTCTGCTCAGCAGGCCAAGATGGGGCTGTGGCAGAGTCTAGACTGGGTCTCACTGACAGCTTGGAAGCCTTGAACCCCACTCCTTCTCTTACCTTGCTGGTGGGATTGCGCTTCTCTCATCTCCAGGTCGTGGGTCAGTTCTGGGGGGAGAAGAGAAAAGGCAGCTGTGTGTGTGTACATGCACACGTAGTAGCAGGTAATCAGGCAGGAGTGGCAGGAGGGATACTTGGGAACCTGTGGATTCTCCCTATGCCCCCAGACCCATTTTACTGCAGCCCAGAGAGGACACGTGAAGAAACACACCCAAAGCCCACCCTGAGCTTGGAGGCGGTGACAGGCTGAGAGAGCTTTCCAGCTCAAGCTTGGGGCCTGGATTTGGGACTGAGAAGCCCAGCTTGCTTTGGGGTCCTGGGGGTGCATATTGGTTCCTTCCTGGGGAGAGACATGCAGACATAGGACCCTTGCCTGTTTAGCTGACCGACACTGCAGCAGCTGGAGCTGCTGGGGGCAGTGGCAGAGGGCTTAGGGTAGTGGCTGTTTAGTCGCCCAACACACACCCATTCATTCAGTTTTGTAGCTAGCGCTGCTGGGCCACCCCACCCCCTCCCGGCCCCCATTGTTTTCCAGACAGCAGCACTGCCAGATTCCACAGGACAGGGAGATGGGCTACAAGGCAGACAGCGCCACCCAGTGTTGGGAAACTGTGCTTGGCACTGAGCAGGCACTGAGCAGGCACTGGGTGGCTAGAAGCCACCCAAGGGTGTTGATACTCAAGTGCAGCTTCCTCTTCCTCCTTGGTGCTGGGAGTCCAGCCACCTGCTTGTCAATTGCTTAGCACCCTAAATGCCCCATCTGTCCTCCCAGCCCCACTTCCACTCCCCCAACTCCTCTAGAGTTCGGGAACTGGGAAAGGACAGGCCAGAAGCCACCGTTGTCTGTCAGGGTGGAGGCCTGCTCAGGAGCACCTGTGTCTGCCTGCAGGGTGCATCCCGGTGGCCCCACTGCCCACACCTCCTTCCTGCCCATGTTGGGCTCCTCAAGAGCTCAAGGTGTCACTATAGGTGGCCTCTCTGGGGAACCCACTCGTTGCTGGGAGACAGAGAGCCTTGGCAGTGACCGCAGCCTGAACCCTTTCCCCAGAGGAAGACTCTAAGACTCTAAGGCTTCCATCCCCAGGGCCTTCCTGGCATCAACCTGGCCACTTCTCCAGGTCCCTGCGATATAGCCCAGGGGACCCTGCATAGGTTCAGGGACTGTAGTCCAAGAAATCTTGGTTCTGCCGTGAATTCCCCATAGGGGCTCTTTCTCTTTAGCATAAGGGTGTAGGGAGACAGACTCCCTATCAGCCTGCACCCCACCTCCACCCAACTGGGTCATCTCCTGGCCAGAGTCACCATGATTCAGCTGAGCTTGCCATGAGGTCAGGTGCACTCTATGACCTTGGACCAGTAATGGGACCTTTCTGAGCCTCCATGATCTCATCTGCACAGGGGGGCAAAGCAGCAGCTGCCTGCTGTAGGGTGGAGTGTGAGACAACAGATGGAGGGCCGAATTAGCATTGTCAACAGGGGACCCAGCCCCAACCCACGGCCAGCAGGGCCCCTTCTTCCTGAGCCCCTCCAGACACCGGCTCCTAGGGCCTCTTCTCCATCTCCTGGGCTGCTCCCAGCATCTCCTCTTCTCCTTGGCTCTTCTCTCTTCTCCACCTCCCCCAGGAGGCAGGACCTTATCAGTCATTTCAGCCCCAAGGGTGGCTGTGCCAGTCCAGCACAGTTATTTTTAGCTCCCTAATCAATAACAAGAGGCTGCAGGCCTGCACCTGCCTGAAGAGAATAGGAAGGGTGGGAGGGGGCCACCACTCTGTCCCTCCGGTGACATTTTCTTGGAACCTAGAGAGGGGAATGGATCCAAGGCCTCAACCTGGGGGCAATGCAAGCAGAGATTCTGGTCTCCGAGTTCCCCAGTTTCCTGTGACAATGTTGCCATTGAGGGAAGCAGTGGCCTCTGGCTGGGTGAGCCTGTGTAGCCACCCAGGGCTGCCCTCAGAGGGCTGTCAGGTCTCAGGGGATGACCATGAAGAGCTGGCTTTGGAACGTGGCTGTTGGAGCTGCCTGTGCAGCTGTAAGTCAGGACTACCTGCCCCTTGCGCCAGAGTGTGAGCAGCCAGGGAGCAGGGGGCTCGGTCTGGGGGAGTCTGGGGGCTCTGGGGGGGCCTGGGGGGCTCGGGGGGGCTCAGCCTGGCTGGCCCAGCAGCACAGTATGTGTGACTGACACACTCTCTGGGCCTCAGTGTACCTGCTGGTACCAAAAAGAGGCCAGTTCTTGCCACCCAAGACAGTCTGGGAGCCCTGGCCAAGCACCTCCCATCCCCCCAAAACACAAGCAGCGGAGGGAGGCCCCAGGTCCAAGAGCGAGGCCAGGCCTGGGATAGCCTCAGTACCTCCCTCTGCTCTTCTCACAGATCCAAGGAGTTGCCAAGTCTGTCCCTTCAACCTACTTCCCTCTTTGCTCTATCCCTCATCGCTCTGAGCTGCACCCCTGGACCAGGTGGTCATCTCTGACCCTCCACACCCACTTATCCTGTATACACCTGCTGGGTGGAGCTTCTGGATGTCTTGTGGTGCAGAGCTAGCAGCACTCTGTGGCTGCATAACCTGAGAGGGACCCCTCCACTCTCCCACCAGCTCCAGAAGGAGGTGGCAGCAAACACTCAGCACTTCTGTGGATACTTGGCTCTGGCTGGAGGCATCTCACTAACGGATCTGCTCACCAGCCCTGCTGTTTCTTCCTCACCCATCTCCTGTCACAGCCTTCCAGGAGCTTGACTTCCCCTGGCTTCTCTTGAGCTCCTGCTGGCTGGCTTTCTTGTTTCTGGTTGTATCTTAACATTATCTGCCCCACGTGCATGCGTGTATCTCCCCCGCCCAGGCCCAGGGGCTCCAGAGGGCTGGGAGCTGCTCAGCCAACAGCGCCTGGAAGGATCTGATGCCCAGGCTCTGCCCCGCTCCCCAACTGGAGCCCACTGTCCTCACACTCTCATCTCCTGTCCCCAAGGCTTGGGTTCATCATCCAGGAAAAGAAGTGACAGTGTGGGCACGCAGCAAGGGTGCCACGATGGATGGCTAGGTGAGGTCCCGTCCTCCACCCCTGCTGTCCCTGCCTCCTCTCCGCCTTGCCCCACGCTCCTCTCACCTGAGCAGCGTTTCTGCAGCCTCAGGATCTCCAGGTGCAGGTCCCGCAGCAGGGCCATCTGTTCCTTCTTCAGGAAGCTGATGTGGCGTTGTGCGCTCTGGATCTGGTGCTCTAGGGACACGGTGTCCATGGCAACCAGGCCTGGGCCCCACCTGAGAAGGACAACAGCGTGAGCCCCACTCCCGTTTCTGAGGCCAGCTGCCCTGCTCTGCCCTTCCATGTCTCATCATCTCCCCACATGCTTGTTGGTGTTCTCCTGCCACCAGGGAGGCTGTCACGGCGGGCACTTCCCCTCCATTTGCTCACTCAGACTTCACAAGCAACTCAGTAGGGGGCACTGGTTGGAAGTCCAATGCTTTTTTTTTTTTTGTATTGTTTTGTTTTTTAATGTATTTACTACTTGAGGGATAGAGGAGAGCTAAACAGCTCTTCCGTCTGTAGATTCACTCCCCCAAATGACTTTAAAGAGTGGGCTTGAAGTTAAGAAACAGGAACTCAGTCTAGGTGTCTCGCAGGGTAGCAGGGGTCCAGGTGACTTCCAGTTTGGACGTCTTGTAGTATGTAGGCTCCAGGGTGAGCACCCAGCAGGTGGCAGCTCCCAGCTCCACCCCCAGCCCAATCCACCCCTACGCCTGGGCTCTGGGTCTGAGGTGGGAGGAGGATGCATCCCTGAAACGAGATGGAGGGGACAGCACCCCAGTTCCAGGTGCAGCTGGAATCTCCAGCCCTCCCTCTCTGGCCACCCACACGGGGCTCCAGCTGGCCTCTTCTCTGATTATCGGGGTCCCGGGGAAGCAGACAGAAAGCACAAGAGACCCAGGGCACCTGCCTTTCTTGCCTGGGACTTCCCCAGCTCCTGAAGGATTTTCTGGGAGAGGGAGGCCAGCAAGACTAAGAGCTGGGTCTCTCTGCTGGCCGCCTCCAGGCAGGCTTCCAGGGGAACCTGAACACTGGGTCCTGTGGAGCACCTACCTGAGAGCTTCCCAGTCACTCTGGGACCCTTCCCTCATTCTTTCTTGTCCCCTCTGACTTTCATGTCAGCTGGGAGTGGCCCTCTGCCCCCGGGTGGGGGTGGCTCATGGGGCCATAGTGACCGATAGGAACTCGGTACTATGGCCTCCCTTCTGGCAGGCACTCAGCTTGCACTCCTGCTTCACAAACAAACGAGCTAAGACTCACAGCTCAGTGACCTTGCAAGTCACACGCTGGGGAAGTGGTGGCAGCCCCTTCAGTCTCCAACCATGTTCTTTAGCCTAAAGTAGTTTCCTAATATTTACAATAGGAATGGGAATTACAAGGGGGATGGGAATTACAAAGGGATGAGAATTGTGATACGGCAAGTTAAGTTGCTCCTTGGGATATCCACACCCCTGGTTTAAGTGCCCCCTACTCTGCTTCTGATGGAACCTCCTGCTAATCTCTCATGCTCTCCCTCTCTGTAGCTCTGCCTTCCAAATAAAATAAATAAATCTTTTAAAAAGTATGGACATGTATCATTACCATCTGTGATAACTTCCCTGCAAGAAACCCACAGAGCATCATTATCAAAAGACACAAGGCAGGACCTACAGTGGAGGGCCAGGGAAGGGCTCTTTGTGCTGGTGGCTCTGAGGCTGCAGCCTTGTGGTAGTTAGCATTTCGAGGGTCCTAAGGTTCAGGACCACTGGACCAGCCCTTCCTCTGGAATGTGGGTGGGAGTTTCAGCAGAAATGGATCACTAGGCCACAGGCAAAGGTGCATGCCCTCAGACTCGGCTGCCTTTGCATTCCGGCTAGGCCTGACCCCCTTGGCCTGGCCAGGAGCCACTCAAAGTTACTCACGCTGAGGCCCCCTGCTGAGGGGGAGTCCACTCCCATGTTTCCATTGTTGTAAGCCCACCGTGTTCGCAATCTTGTCAGATGGCCATGTATAGTACAGTTTGAAGGAGGGCTGTGTGCTCCTTAGACAAGTAAAGATAAGAGCATCCCAAACAGGGAACTGCATCTGTTAAGGTCCAGAGACGGAACAGAACCAAAGGTGGTGAAGACAGCGTCCGTTTGTTGAGTGCCTCCCATGTGTAACATGAGGTGCTGTGCTTGGTGTGTCTGAGGCGCTGACAAACGGCCACGGCTGGCGAGGGCTGAATGAAGCGTAAGGTACTGCGGGCATCCAGGAGGGGAGATGAGCAAGAGAGGGACCACAGGCTCTTATACATCAAGGTAAGGGGTTCTCTTTTTCAAAAAAATAATCATTATTTTTACTGGAAATGGAGGGAGGGAGGCAGACACACACATTCCATTTAAATGAATACCCGAAACGGCTGGGAGGGCCAGATCACGGTTAGGAGTTTTGGACTTAATTTGGTCTCCCTCATGGGTGGCAGAGCCCATCACCTGTCCCTTCCCAGGGGCACACATTAGTGAGAAACTAGGCTGCAAGCAGAGGACTGGGACTCAAATGGGGCACTGGGATACTGGATGAGACACCACAAGCACTGTCACACTACACCAAACACCCACCCCAAGAATTTTAGATTAATATTGAGTGATGGTGGATGTTGCAAAGGATTAAGCCAAGAAGGGAAGTGAGATACCTTGTGTTTTTAACAGTGACTCACCCTGAGGTGGGCATTTGGCATGGTGATTAAGATACACCACTTGAAAGAAAAAGATATATCACTTGGGGCCCAGTGCAATAGCGCAGTGGTTAAAGTCCTCTCCTAGAACACGCCGGGATCCCATATGGGTGCCGGTTCTAATCCCATATGGGATTAGACGAGGACGGCCCAAAGCCTTGGGACCCTCTACCCACATGCAAGACCCGTAAGAGGCTCCTGACTCCTGCCTTCAGATTGGCTCAGCTTCTGCCCATTGCGGCCACTTGGGGAGTGAATCAGCAGATGAGAGATCTTCCTCTCTGCCTCTCATCCTCTCTGTATATCTGACTTTTCAATAAAAATAACTAAATCTTAAATATATATTATATGTATGTATAATATATATTTAAAAGGCAGAGTGATAGAGAGAGGGAAAGACGGAAACAGAGACCTTCCACCTGCTGGTTCACTCCTCCTAGCAGACATAAGAGCTGGGGCTGGGCCAGGGCAAGGCTAAGAGCTTCACCCAGATCTTCGGAATGGCAAGGGCCCAGGTCCTTGAGGCTCCATCTATTACCTTCCCAGTTATACCAGCAGGGAGTTGGATTAGAAGAAGAGCAGTTATAATTCAAACGGCATTTTGACATGGATGTTGGTGGTGCAAATGGCAGCTTGACCTACCGCACTTCTATGCCTGTTATTTGGAGTCATCTTTGATCTCTCTCATCTTTACACCCTACAGCCAATCCACCTGCAAATTCTGCTTGCTCCATCTTTAAAAGTTACCTCAAGGCAAGCATCTGGCACATGGTTAAGACCCCCACTGGATGGGTTCAAGTGGTAGCTATTCCACTTGCAATTCTATTCTCTTCCTAACACGCACCTGGGAGATGCTGAGAATGCTTCAAATATTTGGGTCTCTGCTACTCATGTTGGAGACCCAGATGAAGTTCCTAACTCGTGGCTTCAGCTTGACCCTGCCCTGACTGTTATGGAAGAGGGAACCAGCAGATGGAAGATCTCTCTGTTTGCTTGTCTTTCTCTGCTTTGCAACTAAATGACAGGAAACAAATAGCAATTGAAACAAGTAAAGCCAAAACAAGAAAATGCCCCTTGGAATGACTTCTGGCTTCCATGGCTACCAGCCTGGTAACTCCCACCCCACAGGCACTCTCTCTGTGTCATCGCAGCCCCCTCCTCCGTGGTCTCTCATCCTTTCTTTGCCACATGGAATCCTTTTAGCAAGCAAAGTTCTAGGCATGCCTCCCTGACTCCAACTCCAAATCTGCCAGCAGCTTCCCTGATAACTCACAGCCAAACTCTCTGCCCTCACCACACCCTACACTGTCAGGTGCTTTCTGTCCCTGCTCCAGCTTGCCTCCCAACCCACTGCCCTCCCTGCTGTTGGCTCTTACGGCAGCTGTCCTGGCCTCACTGCTGTTTCCTGTACCAACTTTGGAATTACCCCATTGAAAATAGAACCTTCCGGCAGGGTCTTTGGCAGGTTTGGGTTGGCGGCAGCCCACACTGTGGTGCCCGAGTGGGAGTCGTGCCAGTTCAAGCTCTGGACCCCAGGTGCCTAGTAATGGCAGAGCCTGAGAGGCAGCGGTAAGGGCTCATGTTGCTGGGTCCCTGCCACCCACTGGGGAGGCCTGGATTATTTTCCCAGCTCCTGGCTCTGGCCTGGCCTAGCTCTAGTTGTTTTGGGTATTTGGGGGAGTGCATGGAAGGATAGGAGTTCCGTCTGTCTTGTTGGCCTATCAAATGAAAAGTTTTTAAAGTGTCTGTCACTCTTCACTTCCTCAATCTGTCTTGCTCTTCTTCCATGAAGTTATTATCGCGTGATTCTATGATGTTTTGTTGACTGTCTGCTTCCACTGCCAGCCTGTTAGCACCAGAAGAAGGATGTTTTTCTTCCTTCTGTTCCCTCACACCTAGCACAGCATTTGGCAGATAGATTAGTCTGCACGCGTCTGTAGCACGCACAGGTGAGGACATTTGTGGAGGGTGGGGGGTGGGGTAGACTGGTGGAGTGCAGGTTCACAGAGAAGGCGGGACCAAGAGGAGACGGTTTGATGAACTCAAGTAGCTTCCAACCAGAAGGCATGCAGTGGGTACACACTCTGGCCAATGTGTGGCGTCTGTGCCCGTCTGGGTGTGTCTGCACCTGTGCCTCCACAAGTGCACGTTTGGGCAGGCCTACACGCGTGTGTTCTAATTCTTCAGCCAGCCTCTGTGTGTGCGCTACATGCACACACGGAAAATGAAGATGTGAAGGTGTGAGGGCCTGTGCTGGAGTAGAAGACAGAAAGTGTCTAGTCCCAACCACAGGAACACCAATACTTCTGACGAATGCAAGCTCTGCCTGGACCGCCCCGGAGATTGGACCCAGGCTGCAGAGAGGGACTGTGCCGATCAGCTGCTCCTGTATTTTCCTGGAGGACTTGAATGCTGGCTTCCAATGAGGCAGGCTACTCTGCTCAGGGCAGACATGTGGGTCGTGAGCCAGCTTGGCAGGGACTCCTTCTTCGCTGTTACTGTGTTTAGTTTGTTTG